ACTGGAAGTTCTTATCGTTTTGTCCTTTGGTTAGTCCGCCACGAGGCAACAAGCGGAGGTGGGACCCACAAACTTAGGGTTCTTGTCTGAAAAAATTGCCGTAATGGGTCGCGGGAAATCCCACGTGGCTACAACTTTTCGCTGTGGTACGCGGCATCGTTTCCATGCTTTATTCACAAGTAAGTCTCGCAATATATGTGTTCTCGTTTGGACAGATTTTCACGATATTTCGTCCAATAATAAGTAAAAACCGTAAAATATCGTGATCTGACTGCATACTGTTGATAGTTAAAATTATATTTTTTATTTTTATCAAAATATTAAATTAAATTATTTTTATATTTTTCATATATTTTTATATTAATCAAATATTGTCAAATGCAAAGTAAACAGTACAACTTTATAAGGCATGCTTTCGTTCTTGTGAAACTGATTTCATGAAAATGAATTTTCGTTCTTTTTTTTTTTACTAGAAGAAAAAATAAATAGAATTTTTGAATTGAAAAAATCGTTTTTAATAAATTTTATAATTAATAAAATATATAATTTTATTTAAAATAGTACATTAAATAGTACTTAATATTGATTAAAAAACATATCTCATCCATCAGTAAAATGAAATTTTTAAATTTCATAAATGAAAATAAAACATTACCACAATCTTATTAAGAAATATTAAAAAGTTTAATGCATTTATATAAAAATAATGAAACACATGATAATATTATAAAGCTACTTATAAATTTTAATTTAAAATATCTACTAATAATATATAAAAAATAAAATATTCAAATAAAAATTTTGTTCTATCTGTAAATATCATTTTAACCGGTGTTACTAAGCATTGATTAATATTGCACTATTGCATTTATTTTTTCGATCAATAATGTTTTAGTTTGTTTTTTAAAGGTCAATTTTTTAACTTTAATTTTATGTTATTTTAAATATATTTTTAATTAAAATTTAAAAATATGCTTTCTAAAATGCTTCAATGAAAAAGTTTTTAAATATAAATTTATAAAATTAATAAATAAAATATTTAAAATATTAATAATTAAAATTTTAATATAAAAATCAAACAACACGCAACTTAACATATATTATAAAGAAGGCAGAGGGGTAAATCATTAAATTGAAATCAACGGTGACTGTCAAAACCAATCAAAATATCGAGCCGGTACGACACACTGGAGGAGAAAGCACCGAGAACAGCTGGACGTCACATTGACTTATCCTCCACGTCAGCAAAGTGGGACCCATAGCCATGTAGCTTAACAACCTAAGTGGGTTCATAAACAAAAAGCTTTTAATTAAAAGAGGGCTGATTTAGGTGGATAAGCACGGATAAATGAGCAGTCTACGTGGACTCCATTTGCTCGCCACGTGTCCCATACATTGTTTGTTTGTCTGAATTTGTAAAGCGAGCCTGTGAAACGACAAAATCCTTAGCCGGCAACGGGGTGCGCAGAGTTCCCTTTGAAATTTAAGGATAAGGGCTACAAAGTCGGTGTAGTGCCAGTGACGGGAGTGCTTACGTGGAACGATTTTGTCCTTTGATAAATAATGTTATTAGATCCAACAAATGGGATAAGCACTACAGAGTATAAAGATAAAATTCATTTGAATAAATTATAAGATTGGTTAAAAAGATATTGAGAAACAACGGCGATAACAAAAATATATTTAAATACAAACAAAAGATTATCCGCTTCTTAATTTAATAAATAAAGAGATTTTACAAAAATATAAAAATTTTAGTTTCGAGTTAAAATTTTTTTTAAAAGATTATATTTTTCATAAATTTGTTTTAAATTATATAATTAAAAATAAAAATTTCTTCAAATTCCACCGCACCAGAAAATACAATAAATCTTGATAAAGTCTTTAGTTGTGGATTTTTCATAAGAATCTGTATGCACGGCAATCTTCAAAGCAATAGCCAATCTTTAGGCTTTGTTTTTTATATATTTTTTAATATTGTTTATTGGATGTAATATCTTATAGGATATGCATGGCTCTTATTTATAATTTACTTATTTATCTTTATTTTAAATTTTGGTCAATTGGTTCTTGCTCAAGAGTAATTAATTAATATAAAACTAGTATTAATAACAATAAAATAAATTACAGCACGCATGGGCTATGATGTCTTTAAATGGGTATATTGAAATTTCATAATTAAATGTATTTTTAGCAAACGGAAGGATGAATTCAAACCCCATCACTGTCCATCTTCGGCAATATAAATACAATGATTAATAATTAAAAAAATTATTTCATTCGACGTTAGTAAATTTTTTTAATTTTTACAGATGAAATTAATAGTGATTTTGTACAAATACATTGGTTAAGTAAGCAAAACAAAATTAACCCAATTTAAATAAACTTATCAATTAAGCCAATTTTACATTGATGATGCACTTTAGTGGATATTCCTAAAGAATGCTTCTCCTAACTAAATTATGTCTCATTTAAAACTTTAGGCACAGCTCTTGTTGCTTTTAGAATGAGAATAGACATTAAAAGCTTTACCTAAATATATTAAAAGCAACCTACCAAAGGGATTATGTGCCTTTTAAAGCCTTTATCTAACCCTATACTTTAGCTGATAAACAACAACTACAACACTAATTGATATTCATTAATTAATTTATTACTACCATTTTTTAGAAGTATTATTATTGCATTTTATGAATGTAACAACGTATTTTATGACTTAATTTTTTTTAAAAAAAAATTCAGTTATAAAAATTTTTAATTTTTTAAAATTCAATAAAAATAATATCACTTGGCTTAAAAATCGCTCTCATCACTTTGAGAAAAGACTAATAGCAATTTGTGGCTTTTGGATGAATGAAGGGTTAATTATAGCAAGTTTAAGAATTGACTTTATTATTATCGGAAATATATAAATTAAAAATAGAAAAAAAAAAAAAAAAAAAAAAGGAGAGAGAGAAAATGTTTTTGGCGGAATCACTCTCACTAAAGTCACACCCCGCTCCAAACTCCAAAGTGGGGAGCTTCGGCAAATTAACCAAGTAACTAAACACGTGTGAAGTAATTTGCTTAATTGGTCGGCCAGAGCCCTACATCAAGGGGATAAAAAAAAAAATTAGGGTTTGAATCTCAATTTTAATTTTTTTTTTAAGATTATTTTGATCATTAAATTAAATAATTGAAGATAATAATATTATTAATTATTATACCGATGAAGGTTTTTATCATCATTTGAGGCGGTTTCATGTCGCGGCGTGCAGTAAATTTCACAATGAAAATCGTAATTGTAAGTGAAATTCAAGTCACGTTCTCATCCATCTTGTTGTTTAAGAATCGTCCGAAGACTAAAGTAGAACATAATTAACGGGTCCATTGCTTTTTTTTTTTTTAGAGTGTCGAGAGCCCCTCAAATTGGATAAAATTAGGTGATCCTAGTCTCATCGATTCATGATCTATACTCACTAAACTTTTATTAACATGTATTTCGTTCAATAATAAATATATGTATTTTTATTTAAATTTTTAATTTTAAGTTTTAAATCAGACATTTTTAAAATTAAAAATTGATATTTCAAAACGATAGTTTAGATTATTTCAATTCAAGACTTTTAATCTTGAAATCGCTTTCAATACCATTCAATTAATAATTCATTGGTCATCATTCTTTTATGTATCACTAGTGGAGGTTCCTTTAATGTTAAAGTTAAAACTTTCATTGGCATTTCCTTTGGAAACTCTTACCACTACTACTTTTCAAACTTCTTTGATCCTATTATCTTTCAAACATGGAATAAAGCATTTCCTGCATTACGTAATTCAAGGGGCTTGTAAAGAGGAAGGAGAGCCGCAAGTTACACTACCAATGTAAAAGTGATTCTTGCTATCTTAGTATTTTTTATTTTAAAAAAATTTCTAGTATTTTTTATTTAAAAAATAAGAAATTCGAACTCAACACTTGCTAGAACATTGCAACCTGAGGACAGTAGGAAACTCCAGAATTTGCCATTATCATATACTTGCTTTGGCTTGAGAATGATACAACTATGAAGCAATAATTGCTTAATGAAAGTGTTGACTTGCATTGGGTTAATGTATGCTCAAGGGGAACTCAACCCCCACTACCCCAAAAAATGGTACTATATTCCTTTAAAATGTGGTTTATCATGATAAGTTGTACAATGAATGAACAATATGATTTGTCTTTTCATCTGTCTGAATCAGAACTTTACAGTGTCAATCTACAAAACCGGAGATGGCGGATTTGGTCATGCATGAGCAATCGCCTTTTTGACTAACTTGTCATTATTCTCTATCCCAACCAGCTTGGTTCAACTTTGAACAGGTATTGAGCATCAGATTTCTTGCTAATATTGCCCTTCATACTCTCCATTTGCTAAGATTTGCAATATGGAAAGATAATGTGAAAGCAGGCAGTATTCAGATTTCGTTGCAAATACACTGCAAATAGTTTTCCAATTAACCTTGATGCTATCATATGTGTCACATTATCCATACGGTTTTGACAGTAATTCAATTACATATACCATGAATCAAGTATCCCGGAGAAAGCAAATTGAAATGTAAAACTAAAGGTAATCTGATGGGACAATCATGAGAGTATAAGCGATGTAGAACAAGAAGCCAGGATGGGTATCCTTACAGTATCAGACATAAATCAGCCCCTATGAATCCGGTGATATCCCAATCATCCAGGGTGCTGAATGTAGTTTGTCCTATGGCAGTTGAAGATTTTTTCACTGAAAGGCTGTAAACCAGTGGTATCTTTCTTTCATTGTTGCCTTCTTAAAAGACATCAGCCTAGCTTCAGATGAGATAGTGTTCGCGTTTTGCAAGTCTTGATGAATTCGACTAAAGTCCAAAGTGACTCCTCCAAGCAAAAGCCCAAGTCCAACCTTCCTTGAGACATCAACAATCACAATCTTAAACCGATTATTTGAAAATCCAATTACAATCAATCTCAAACATCATGGTATGGGCTCTTCGTAGAAACATCTCTCGCGATCTGGTCCCGAACAAACACAAGCGCTAGGCAAGCAGGACAAAATTATCAGAAACAATCATCAAGCGATGCAAACCCCATTGCAAAGTAATTTCGCTTGGAACCAATGCTTCAAAAGAGACTACTCTAAAAGCTACTGAACCCTCCACCTGGCATTCACTGATTGGTACTACAACGACCACTTGTACAGACACCAACGGCGAAACGACACCCTCTAAATATCTTTGCCTCTTCAAACATACAAAAGATGAAAAGAACAAGTTTTTCCCTCGGCATATTCTAAAGTTCACGCGGTTGAAGCAAAGCAAAGACAGACTTCCCATCAACAACCGTACAATTTGCCCATTTTAAAGTTCCCAACTTATCCTTTTCATTTCTTTTGTTAAATATATATAAAAAATTTCACTCTATTTTGAGGATCAAAATTCTATACTTTTTTTTAATCTTATCAAAATTCAGTTATGGTGAAACCGAGTGAAAATGGGTCTCAGTCAATAGCACCTTTCCTAAAAAAATGCTATGAAATGGTAGATGATAAGGCTACAGATTCAATAATTTCATGGAGCCAAAATGGTGATAGTTTTGTAATTTGGGATATGACTGAGTTTTCAGTTCATTTGCTTCCTAAGTACTTCAAGCACAGCAATTTCTCTTCTTTCATCAGGCAACTCAATATTTATGTGAGTCTCCCCTTCTTCTTTTAACGGGTATCTATTTTTGTTATAAATTATGTTAAAGTTGGGTGTTTTTTTTTTTTTGTGTATTTAGTTCGGATTTTGGAAGTGTTGAATTGTTTGGATTTTGGAAGTGTTGAATTGGGTTTTCATTTTTTTTATGTGAAACGGTTGTTGCTTTTTTTTTTTTTTGAAGTAATTCTTTGGTATATTTATGCGGGAAATTTTATTATTTTTATCAATTGGGTTTTTGTTTTCTTGCTTAGGTTTATTGTTAATATTGCTTTATTATTAGTTTCGAGTTTGGTTTTTTGCTTGTGAGAGACTGGTTGTAGTGTTCAAGTTGCAGGCTTGGATGTTATATTCGTAGTGGGATTCATATTTCTGAATGTAAATTTGTAGGGGTTTTTGGCTTGTTTTCAATTTCTAACATAGATGGGGAAAGGTGTATTTGCTAGCACTAGCAGTATTTCAATGTGAACTTTTGCTCAATTATGCTGTAATGGTGAAGGCAGTATCAGTTTGAATTTTGCAAATTAGAAAGAGCAAAAATGGTATTGATTTGATAGTTTACTTGACTTCATTACCTGCTTTATTCGTAATGTTGATCTAAACATAGCATGACTAAACATTGCTAGATTGATCCTTCCATTTTCATGGGATGGCTCAGTTCAATTGAAATTGCAGTGTAAAATTTCTTGATGGTAGCGAGAAAATTAGGGTAGTAAAGAAAGAAGTATCTGAAAGGGGGAGTTATTTGCTTTGGATCCTGATATTGTATGCCTAATTTAGGATCAAAAGGGAAAAGAGCTTGTAAATGTTAGCTGTCAAGGGAATTTAAATGTGCTTGCCTGTATGGATTTTTATTATTTTTCTACCTTTTTTTTTCTAAATTTTTTTGACCAAGTGTTTGGAAGAATACACCAAGGGTATGCACCCCCCAATTGAGTTTCACAAGTTTGTAGAGTGATAATGTTAAGAAAAATGGTAATTAAGCAAAATCATAAGTATGCATTTCTCTATGTTGATACTACTATAGTTTTTAACTTAAAAACAAGGAAAAAAAAGAAAATAACTAATTATTTTGTATTATTAGGGCAATTTTAATACGAAGAAAATGAATGTAATCATTTTATGCTAGCACAAATCTGATAGAGACGCTTCTGTTAACAGTAACTAAATTTTGTACCCCTTTCATTCCTATCAAAAGTGTGTGGGGTGAAAAGTGTTGTTTGTGGTAGGAGATGTAGTGCCATTTATGGTTACTATCAACAGTTGTAAGAATAAGCAACATCTAAATGTTGTCTAATACCCTTTCAATTATATTTTGGAAAAGTTGTTGAAATTTATTGGACTGCTATTTTTGACGGTCATCACCCTTTCTTTTTCCTACTCTATTTGGCATTCGTTTGTTTTAGTTTTATTCGGTGAAGTTCTCACACCTTTTCGGTGATTTATTACTTCTTGCTTATTTAGGAGGTAGTCATAAGGTATTTCTGCAAGTTTGATCTACCTTTTCCATTTTGAATATATACGTTATTGCAGATGGGAAAAGAGGCACAATGCTTAACTACTCTTGGCCTTTTTCTGCTAGAATTTCTGTTGACAGTGTCTTGGTCTTTCCTCTTTTTTCTTTTGGTATCTCTCATTGTTGTTGAATGTTCTATTGATTGATAAAAGATCCCTTTAGATCTGTACCACTATGAAGTATTAAAGATATGAGTTTCAATAGCCTACTGTAGTCTGAATGCTACTGTTTATTCTTTCTTGGGGTGCCTTTTCATTAGTACATATATAGAATACTAAAGAAAACGTTTGAACATTTACGCTGAGCTTGGTTGATTAGCCCGTTTTCTTTATTACCTCTTTATTTATAGCTTATAATTGTGGTAACTGTGGCCAACAATCCTATCGTTAAAAATTTATACCTGATATACACCTATCTATTCTGTCATACATAATTTGCAAAAATAGTTGCTATTGGAATAGAAGTTTCTCACTAGTTCAGGCATCCACTGGGGCAATTTTCAAACAACTGGATCCAAAATAGTTGCACTGTTTGAGTGGAATTTTACTGACCAGGGCATTAATTTGACATTTCAAATAGTTCCAAGGCCATAAAATGCTGAATTTAAACGTTTTATGCTGAGCCTAAACAGAGCAGGTAGTTTAGTTTGTATCTGACACATAAGCCTATACAGTACAATTTGAGAATAAAAGCGAGCTATCTTGGACATTAAATAATTGGAGGTGTGGTTAACCTATTGTACCTCTTGTCATTTCAGTCAACCAAAAAGACTATACTAATAGAGTAATAAACAGAAAATCTTATTAGTTGTGGTAGATTTGCTTATCACAAACAGTACAATTTTGGTAAGCAATTGTAGCATCTTTTTTTGTGCATGTTGTACATGTTAATATATCTGTATGGCATTAGAAAACGTTTGTTGGGTGAGTGTGTATGCATGGGTGGTCTATTTGCGCTATTAACCATTATTGAAGATATAAGTAAATGGTAACACTTCAAGTTTTCCAGGGTTTTAGAAAAATTGATTCAGATCGTTGGGAATTTGCAAATGATGGATTTGTCAGAGATCAAAAGGACTTGCTGAAGAATATTGCTAGGCGGAAATACTCCCAGGGATCTGAGCAGCGTAAATCACTGCAGCAGCAGCAGCAGCCACCACAACATCTGGAGAACTCTGTTGGATCATGTGCAAACAATGAAAATATTGGGCTGTGGAAAGAAGTTGAGAATTTGAAGACTGATAAAAATGCTCTTATGCAGGAGTTGGTTAAACTTCGGCAGCACCAAGAGTCTGCAGACAATAAGGTACTTCTCTTGAAGGATCGTCTTCAAGGAATGGAGAAAAGTCAGCAGCAGTTGTTGTCATTCTTAATAATGGCCATGCAAAGCCCGGGCTTTTTGGTCCAACTGATTCAACCAAAAGAAAATAATTTGCGCGTGGCTGGAGCAAGCAATATGCTAGAACAAGTTGCAGAGGATGGTGAACCAGTGGCTTCTGATCATATGATAGTAAGGTATCAGCCATCAATTGATGGAACATCAAAGCCGGTACTCACACCAATGATAGATTCTGAAAATCCTCGTGAATCTGATAATTCTTCAGATGGAACGAAAGATTTTTGGATGGATATTGATTTTGTTAAAGTGCTTATGGATGAAAGTCATACAACTTTCATCCCACCCGAATTACATGATGATGGTGAATGGGAAAAGCTTCTTTTAGCTGATGGTTTTCCAGAGAACAATGACAATGGAAATCAAGATAAAGAAGGGCCCATCAAATCTGGTATCGAAATGGAGGTAACAGGTTCTGGAGCCCATTTGGAAAAATCTTGTAGTTTTGAACTTTTACTACAAAATATGGGGAAATCACAAAACCTGGAGATTGAACCACTGTTAAATGGATCACAATTGGAGAAATCCCAGAACTTGGAACTTCTGACAGAAGCAATGGGACATTGGACTTCCAAAAGTACTAAACTACATGGAATTCCTTAGAAAGGTAGTTGGAGATTTTTGTGCAGAATGCATATCCTGTTATCCTCACATTAATGATCTTTCTTAACCTATATGCAATATATATATAATTTCCAATACATCTTTTTGCTTCTTTTCATTTCACCATATCTGAATGCATGCACCCCGATCATCATGAAAGGGGCTGCCTGGCAAAATTAACAATTGTAATACATCTAGTGAGTATTGGAGGATGATATGGCAGTTTAAGTTTGTTTTTGCCAAGTAGCTGTAGCTATCAAAGGAAACTGCCTTGAATGAAGTTATCATTTTAAATTTGTGGTTCCTATTCTCAATTGTTTACAAACCCATATCGATATAATCCATAAACAATCTCAGTATTTATCATGAAGAAATTATGTATTTGCATGAGAATATGCTTCTATGATGCCTAATTAGTAATTTACCTACTATACAATCTTAGCTACCCTCTTTCCGTATTTTAAGTATAATTCTGTTGCACAAGAAAAGTGCTATTGATAGAGATTATCACTTGATTTTACCCTAATTGAATGAATTCTTGATATGATTATTATCTCAGCACATGGCGTGAGTGCACACACAAACACTCAAAACAAATATACGTACAAACATACACTTGCATGCGCAAGCACGATTCAGTTGTTCCTAGTACTGAGACTATTCTCCCTGTTTCTCTGCACATCTGTGCATGCGTGCATTTGTTTGTTTGTCCTTATCAATTTGGGACCATTTAGTTTGCTTGTCCTATCTGCAAAATTTTGAGTCTGGATGAGATTATCAGCACCAGCAATACATTCTTAACTTTTAGAACTTTCTTTTTTTTTTTTCATTCACTTTAATATGGATAGGATATTCCCCTGTAGTATTCAAAAGGTGTATCTTCTACTTATGCATTGAATTTTCCTAATCTAAGCCGAATGACTTTGATATTGCTCCTGTTGCTTCTAATGAAGATTATAAAGGAAATTTAAAAAATACCCTAGTTAAAATGGATGGCTATCAAATATTTCAAGAGTGTTTTGGGCTCAAACAGTGAATAAAAACATGAATTGTGTTATATTGCTATTCAAAAGAACGGCAGTTCTCCTTTACTTGAATCAGCCGACTAAAGCAGGTAGCTATGTTTGGTGGTTCTCATCTCTTGAGGTTCACTTCTCCATCAGAAGAGTCGAGTAATCGTGTTAATACTCGTATCTTTCTTTCATAAATTTGTTTCGCTTCATGTCAAAACGATGATTTATTAACTTAGTCTGTAGGAGCACTAACAGTTAACAGAAGCAAGAATAAAAGGAGAAAAATACGTTAAGATCATGTGAGATTTAATCTAATTACCAACATTAAACAGATGAAAAAAAATCCAGATGTTCTGTCCTTAAGAATGAAGCATAAAATCTGCAAACTGGAGATAACTATCCAGTTGAGACACTAGTAGTAGGACCTAGGGATGGATAATCTTAGCCATGCCAAAAGCAGCAGCAGACGCGATGGCACCAATGAATGCAGTTTGGACAGCACTTTTTAAGGGTTTGTTGCCAGTGAAGTAACCTTTGGCATAGCCAAAGATAAGGAGAGCCGCTATGGTTATAACCACTGATGCAGCCACAGCATCCGTAGCTTTTGGAATGAACATGTACGGAAGGAGTGGCACCAATCCACCCAATATGTAAGCAACAGCAATGGTGAATGCGCTCTGTAACGCTCTTCTTGGATCTGGCTTCTCTAATCCCAATTCAAACCTGCATTTAACCCAGCATTTGTCAATAACTGCCTGTATATATTTTGTCACGATCATATCAGTTAAACACAAGTTGCGCATGCAATGGCCATGGAGTAAATGTTAAAGTGGCTTTGATTAGCAAGAAGGATAAAGACGGTGACAGTTCATCCCCAAAAGAAAAAAAAATAGTGATAGTTTATCTATCTCCATTGTTTTAATGTACTTCCAAAATTTGAATCAAACATACAGAGTATTATTCCATATATGAAAATAATATTAAATTTAACCCACATGAAACTAGTCTGATTGCTAAGCGGTTTGTCAATGTAGATTTGATTTTTGTGAGAGCCTTATAATTACCATATGAAAATGATTAAGTTCAGACAAAGCTTGGAAATATCTACCTTATTACAATATATGCATATATTAAATTTAGCTCTAATTACAATGACATGTTAAAAAGCAAAAAAATCCTGAAAACCAAGCTACCTTTACGTTTCAAAATGATTAAGCAAAAGAAAATCAAAGATTGGATTCGACCAATATCTGAAAAGTGTCCCTGAAAATGAATCTATAGTTAATTCTGATGATTCCATTCCATTGAAGAATGCTCCAAAAAAAGTTAAAATAATAAAAAAGTTATTAAATTTCTTTATTTACTTAAAAAAGTAGTTTAAGAATTTTTTAATATTTTTAAAAAAAATCCATTGAAGAATGAGGAGGGAATGTATCTATAAGAAAAATGTTGAAATCATCGTAACCAGAAGAAAACATTATATATATATATATATATATATATATATAAAATAAGCCCCCAAGTTGCATGCTATTATCACCAACCTGTAGACCACACGTACTTTGTCTCCATTTGAAAGCAAAACCAGCTTTTTTCCGAATATTCAAAAAGCAAAATTGGAGGGAATGTATCTGTAAGAAAAATGTTGAAATCATCGTAACCAGAAGAGGACATTTTATATCTATATATATATAATAAGCCCCCAAGTTGCATGCTATTATCACAACCTGTGGACCACACGTACTTTGTCTCCATTTGAAAAGCAAAACCAGCTTTTATCCGAATATTCAAAAAGCAAAATTGGCTTTTATTTCTGCTTTTGGGGAGTGACAATGGAGCCACTCCATTTTATCAAACAAGCCTAGTATTGTTTTCCCTTTTGGCACATGAGAAGAAAAGAAATTAAGATAAAGAATAAAAAAGAGAAAGGAGAAAGATTAATCTTTTAGTAATAAGAGAGGGGAATGCAACTCCTGCTCTGTCACCCAACAGATTCTGGAGAAGATCAGCAGGTGGGCTTAAATACAAGCCTTGTATTGTTATTTCTCTGTTCATTCACAGAAATAACAGATACTTGTAAAAGGATGGAATGTTATGAGTAGAGTTTATTATTTTTATACTTGTGTTGTGTTTATTTTGTGTTAAGCAAGCTAAAATATAAAAATTGTTATGTTACGTTTTTGCGTTGATACGTTAAATATGAAATATATATTTAAATTTTATTAAATTTATATATAATTTTAAATTATATTATTTTAGTAAAATTTTTAAAAATTACTTTTATCATATTTAAAATTATATAATTTAATATCTTAGTGTTATAAAAAACATAGAATGATAGCAAGTAGCAACAACAGTTCCAAGAAAAAATCTATCAAACCCAAATTTTAGTTGTCAAACATTTATAAAATTTCTCTAAAAATTAATGAGAGAGAATGATAATGATAAACTTACTTCATCATAAAATCAAGCCAAGCCTGAGGCCTTTTCCTGAGAGCATTCACAACGGGCACATATTCATGTGGCTCTATCCCATACTCCGCCAGTATTTCAGCCACCTCCGCAGCCTCTGCATTTTCAGGAACAAACCCATTCTTGAATCAAACAAAGAAAATCAAATGGCTCAAAATTCAATTATTCTTTGATTACCGATATCAGGCACACTTGTTATTTCTTCTTCCTCTCTTTTCAACTCCCTCGCATAATGATCGGCTTCGCTTTTAGCCGCCAGATACCTACAAGCAACGTCATTAGCATTAAGCTTTGTTCACGTTTTTCTTTTTTTCTTGCAGTTTCTTAGTAACCAAACAATACCCAATGGTGAACATATCAAAACAAAACGAACAGACTATAAAAACAATGAAAATTAAGTATAGTTACCCGCCGAGTCCCATGGAGATGGCGCCAGCGGCAACCTCAGCGATGCCAGCAGTGAGAACAATGGAAGAGGTGGCATTGGCACCAGACAATCCAGCGGCAAGAGCAAAGGGCACAGTTAAACCATCGGATACGCCGATGATGATGTCTCGGACGATCTCTCCAGCAGTGAAGTGCTTTTCCTTGTGGTGATTGAGAAGGCTTTGCTTCTCGGGTTCAATGTTTCCCTTGCTGTTCTCTCCTCCGGCCATGGAAAATCCTATGTCTGTTTTGGATTTTGGTAATTAATTGGAATGATGCCAAAATCCAAATGATGAAATGAAATAGGAATTTTTTTAATTAAGAAGGTTGTCTTGCTGTAATAAATGGGAAAACATTTGTGCTTTTTGGTAAATGGATTCTAATTCCAAAACTGTGACCACACGTGAGGAACAGCTAGGATTCTCACTTCCCCTTTCTCCCCCCACAGTGTTTAATTTTGTTTGGATTATACCAACCACGAGAATAACATGAAATGAATCAAAAATTAAAACCAGTCAATGACTCAAATTAATAGAACTCACATTTCATTGCGAGAAAAATAAGTTCAATCCATCTAACCAATCCAGCTACAATCTATGCAATACAATTAATGAATTATAATTAATATTATATATGTAAATTCTTAAAAAATTATATAAAACCCATACTATAAATGAGAAATTCTTATATAATTTTTTGTTATAATTAACTAATTATTAATTAAAAAAATTGTATATGAAATGTTTCTAGCCAACACCCCTTTGGCATATGATTATTAATGTAATTTAAACTATCAAATTTGGTCCTCTTCTTAATTAGATAATATATATATATATGGAAATTGAATTTCTTTAACTATATTTCTATTAATAAAATTTTAAATGCAAAATACGTGATTTAATTTTCTGTCTTGGATTAAGTCCAAAACAATTTCATCATATGTATAACGTGCATGTTAGACTTTAGAGTACAAAAATAATCCAAATTGTATTGTTGCCTATATGGTTGATGATAGTGGTAAGGAAAATTTCATGTTAATTGTAGCTAAAACTTGATACTTTAGATCTCTTTGGAACAATAGCATTAGCTCTACTTTCGTCTAAATATTGGATCCGCAATCTAATTAAGTAGACCTTCTCTTTTTTTAATCAAAACTAAAAATATGAGTTTTCAATAACACTCGGTTTGAGATTTTTTTTTAATGTAAAAATTTAAACAAGAGGAAACTACTTATTCATTGCCACGATATACCACATGTTTTAACGTGTATTTTCCAATCACTTACAGAAGTAGGCAATTGGTATCGAAAATCGAATATAGACCTTACAAACGAAGTAATTAAATTATATATAGTACTTTGCTCAAATTAAGAGACAAGCCAACTACAAGCTCAAATTAAAAAGAGAAAAGATTAATATTATCGAGTAGACTTATGCTAATGATTAATGTTTTAGAAGCTTAGCCAAGTAGTAGGCAGCTGCAGAAGCGAAGGCACCAACGAAGGCAGTTTGTATGGCACTCTTGAATGGGTTACTGCCAGTAAAGTAGCCCTTAGCTAACCCGAAAATCATTAATGCTATTATTGTCAAGGCGATAGATGCAATCAAAGCTTCACTTGCAACTGGAAACACCAAGTATGGCAACAGTGGCACCGATCCTCCCACCATGTAAGATGTTGCAATTGTTATCCCACTTATTAGTCCTCTCAGTGGATCTGGTTTTTCCAATCCCAGCTCAAACCTGCAATTAATTTGGACATTTTTATCAGTCATTAACTCCTTTTTTTTTATTTTTTATGTTCGAATGATAGTTTTGAACTCAAAATTTGAGTTAAAGGGGTAAAATTTATGGAATGAGGTCATTATGTAACCCGATATCACATGTAGAACATATATATATATATATATATATATAGTTAAAATATATGTTTACTTGATCATGAAATCAACCCAAAGTTGAGGGTTCCTCCTCAGTGCTTTCACCACTGGTTCAGATTCATGCGGCTCTATCCCATACTTTGATAGGATTTCTTCAGTTGTAGCAGCCTCTGTGCATTTCGAAAATAACAATCCTGTTAAAGCATGTCTATAATTTTGTATTGGCATTAATTAGTAGTTCATAATCAAAGGAAAATTATCATTAAAATAGAAAAAAAAAAAAAAGAGAAAGAAATAAAAATGGTCTATTCTAACCAAGCTCAGGATCGTCGATGATTGCTTGATCTTTTCGCTTCAGTTCACTGTTGTACACTTCTGCTTCACTTTTTGCTGCAAGATATCTGGATAACATTCATGTGCAAGAGCCAAGGAAAAACTTTAGGGGGACAAAAAAATTTACAGGAAAAAAGGGTTAGCCTATTATTTACGTTTGTTTGCAAAACCTAATTGAGTTGAGAAAAAAAAATGTACCCGCCAAGTCCCATGGAAATAGCACCAGCTACAACTTCAGCAATACCAGCAACAACAATAATAGAGGATGGCACGTTGGCGCTGGACAAGCCAGCGGCAAGTGCAAAAGGGACGGTAAGACCATCGGAGACGCCGAGAACGATGTCTCGGACTGTCTCGCTGGACTTGAAGTGTTTCTCTCTTTGCTTATTACTATCTTTTTGATCTTCCAAAAGCAACTTCAACTTCTCTGGATCAACTTGATTACCTTTTGCTGCCATAGTGAATGTTAAATATTGAGCTCTTTCTCTCCTTGTAGGGCTTGGTGTGTCAAGAGTATTGAGGCTATGCATATTTATAGCAAAGAGGATGTTCCTTTGAAGTATTGGCCAGGTCCTTTGCGTATTATAAATTCAAAAGCTTCTATAACTTAAATTGGTCTATGTTGAATGTCTTTTGGGTTTGGGCAGATGAACGGTGATTTGGAAGTGTGTGGAGGATTATCTGTACCTACGGTAAGAAAGCATGATTAGGAGTGTCAAAGTTAATTTTTCGAGACGTATTTCGATACTCAAGTCAAACAATTATTTAAAAAAATTTGGAAGAAAGAAGTTTGAACAATAAAGAGTGCTAAGCAAAATTTAAAGAAGAAGGGTTCAAAGTTCTTATCGTATCTAGACCTCCTTATCTTATATATAAGAAGAGAAAAAGTGATGACATAATCGAAATTATTGACAATTGATGATAAATTTATATGAAAATTAAAAAAAAATTACCTAAGTGAATATGAGTTACGCAAGTTGGAGATCAATTGATCTTTTGTATTATGATAATTTAATGGAACGGTAATGAGAGTAGTTAGACGAGTCCCTCTTTAACGATGGGAGCTCGTTTTGTGATGAAAAATCGAATCATCGATTTTTTTTAATTACTTGATAATTAAATATATACGGACTTATGAATATAAAAATTAGCTTTGAATGAATGTCTCTCATTCATTCAATTGATCCTGTATAATCAATTTTACCAATTAAAAACTTAAAATATTAATTGTAAATTTGAATTATTTATGTAAATACAATGAATTTATAATTTATCCCTAAATTTTAACTACTAGCATTGAGATATATTCCTTGGAAACCCACTTGTAACATTTTTTTTTTGATAAATTAGTTTGAATCTAATAATTTTTCTATGATATACCGGCCAAGGAATTGGAAAGATCAAAAGCTGTGTTATAATGACTATGGTTCAAAAGTTGAATGAACTTGGGATTTAGAATCTTTAGGTAATATATAATCATGATTAGTTAAATTGAAAAAAGAGCGTGTGGCCGACACAAGACTCGTGCAGATACGACAAAATTGGAAGATTTTGATGCTTTAAAGTAGGGGCAAAGATCCAAGGCGTGTGCGTAGCACAGGCCTTTGTACAGAATAATTCACATGATAGCCTTTACGGGCATGCTACAGGGCTGACCCTACAATTTTGTTTATCAAATTGTAAGTTAGAATATTTAAAAATAAGATATTTAAGTTTTAATCTAAAATGAATCATTAAATCACTTTTAAAAAATATATTGAACAAATTTAAATTTTAAATTTTAATACTTGAAATATTTTTTCAATTCTCAAACTTTTTTAATATATAAAAAATAAAACTATTAAAATAATTGATGATAAATTATTTTTTTTGCTAGGAGATAAATTATATGGGAAACAATTTATTTTCCATGGTTAGGGTAAGTGGGACATGATATGAACACTTATCAAGTATGATAGGATCCAGGGTTTGATCATTTCAGGATATATGGAACTATAAACTTTCCACTAACTATGCTTTGGGTTAAGTCAATAAAGGAAATATAACTGTTTATCAAATTGAAAATAATTACTCCTTAAACGAACACGACGCTTAGCTTAAATGATTTATCATTTTTCTAAAGAAATGGATTCTCCCAAGGTTGAGATTCAATCTTGTGAGAATTCATCTGTAATGATTACAATGAAGATTCAATTGCGAAGATTTTTTTTTTTTTTTCATCTAAAATTCAGATTAATTACTAGTAGTGCTCTTGTGCAACCATTAGCTTAACTACTAAACGTAATTCCCGTAATTATTATGTAATTTCAGCATCATCGATTTATCATAGTACTAATAGTAGTGAGTTTCATTGATGCATGTGATGAGTGATTTATTTAGTCTATAATAGTACGAGAAGATCAAGTTTGTCTAATTAATTTTCATAATGAATGGTTTTGTATTAATCCAATGAGCTTTGAGTTTAGATTATTCGAATTAGCTTTTCGAATCGGATCAATTTTTATCACATCTAATTGTCATAAGCTGTTAAACAAGGGGGGTTTGGTTTGGGTAGGTGCAATTTGACCACTTTCTCATTCATTGTATTACATTTCATCATATAAAGTATTGTTAACAAAAGATCTTTTTGAAACCCAAAATGGAAAAAGAAAAAGAAAAAAAATGGAAAAGAACTAGTGTTGCTTTTTTAACTTTTTAGCAGTGGAAGAATGATATCAAATCAAACTTTCCAACATGACCACCCACTACTGGCCATCATGCCTATTGCCTACTTATTCCTTGCCTCATACAAACTGCCCATGTGGGTTCCTTCTGATTAGTTAAAAAAAAAAATCCTCTAGCTTTTGGTCTTCTTACCTGTTTTCTACTTCACATTGAATTAAATGAAATGTATATTTCCAATTTATTTAGGCTTTCTTGAAAATATAATTTTATGAAGAAAATGTTAAAGATTATCAGTTAAGATGATATGATTTATAAAAAAGTCTTTTAATTAATGAATTGTTTATGCTTAAATTTGATGAGAATAGTGCATAAAATTTAAAAAAAAAACATTTCTTAAAATGAAATTTTAATCAATCTTAACAAGTGTCTATATAGATATATGTTAACTAACAGATAATGCTATATGACATAAGATGATTTTTTTTATTTGATTAAAATATTGATGTGAGAAAAAAATCAGTTATTAGATATGCATGTGTACATATGTATATACCATTGATTATTGAGAGTAATTAGGGTTTATTAATCTTTCTATAAGTATATATCACATCTGTTTAATACCAAACAATTCAAAAGAGAAAAGAGTTAAAAATATATAAAAATCTAATTTAAATTTGTCTACCCTGCCAAATGATATTTGATGGAAATTAAAATATTTTATTGGTAAATATGATCTAATCATGCTAGATAATAGTATAACCAAAAGCAATCTCCTCCTAGCATAAATTTCATCATTTTCATTTTAAGATTCAAACGAAACCTTCAAATGGAAATCTCAAATGTTAATCATTCAGAAGTTAGGAACATTGATAACAAAATATCGAACTTTCTTTTTCTTGTCAGCCGATGATGATAATGTCATAGGAGAGGATTTCTTTTGTTTTTCATTATTGTGGCAAGCAGACGCAGCCATTAAAGGAGGAGGGAAAGAAATAAAAAAGGAAATACAGAGAAAAAAGTAAGAGTAGAATATTATTCTGCATTATAATTCTATGCTATGAACTGTTCCATATGTCATTGCACTGTTGAGCAACAAGCCCTGACATTTTTGGGTAAAGGATAAGCACGGGTTCTTGCTTTGCTTTTTCCTTTCTATTTTTTTTTTTTTTTTGGCATCCATCATCAATGATTCTCATCTCCATATATTTGAATTTAATTTCAAAACCCATTTAAGTTATTGTTATTATTATTATTTGGTACGAAAAGATGGTAGTCTAGAGAATGATTCAACGAATGAATGAAAAGGGAGCGAATATATTTGTCAAGAAATGCAGTCGTAAAAAAGACAACAAGAGTTGCTATTTTTGATTATTTAAATATTGATTCATCCACATTTTATGAATGTTTATATTTGTACCAAGTTATTTCTTAGGTGTAAAATTCTGAAATCAAAAGAAAGAAAAAAAAACAATTAAAGATAAAGTTGGGAGTAATTCCAATGTTTATACGCTGATACTTAAATTAATCAAAAATATATATAAGAATGAGAATGTAGAAAAATGTCAGAAAACAAGATGGTTCAAATAGTTTCTGAAATGTACTACTTGAGTTAGACGTTAACTACTCAATCATGGGAGGATAGCTCAACATTTAAGGGGTCTAATGACTAGATTGATAAGGTGACCAAACTCATGTAATTTTGTGAATTCAAATTAATCCGATACGTCGATTTGATCAAAAATAAAAAATGTTTTTGACTATCTATTAACAATCACAAATAAAAAAATAACTATTATATATTTTAAACTTAAAAACATCCCCCAACTGTTTACTTTTTGCGAATAGCATAGTAGAATGCTCCAACATTTTCAAGGAAAAAAAGTCCAATTTTTTTGGCTGCTTTTTCAAAGAATTTTACTATGCATTCTTTATTGTCAAGTTATGAAAGCAATGAAGTCAAATAAAATTGCTATTTTTTATTATTTAAATATTGATTCACCCATATTTTATGAATGTTTATGTTTGTACGGAACTGTTTCTTACACATAAAATTATAAAATAAAAAAAAGAGATAAATAATAGTTAAAGATAAAAGTTAAGAGTGATTTTAATATTTGTGTTTTAATATTTAAGTCGGTCAAAAAAATATATAGGAATGAGAATGTAAGAAAGTGTAAGAAAGTAAGATGATTTAAATGGTGCTTGAAATGTGCTATTTACACATGTAAGATGAGGGATTTTGAGTCGCTTAAGTTACCCTATGTCAACCTTAGGATCAGAATAACTTGGTAACCCAAGCTGAATTAGACATTAACCACCAAGTCATGAGAGGATAGGTTGGCATCTAGGGGGTCTAATGAGTAGACCGGTGAGTTGGTCGAGTTAACATAGTCTCGTGAATTTAAGTCGACTTGACACATCGATTCAATCAAAAATCTAAAATATTTTTGATTATTTATTAATAGTTTTTAATAAAAAAATCATTATATCTTTTAAATCTAAAAATTCCTTCCCATAGTTTACTTTTAGCAAATAACATAGTTGAATACTCTAACATTTTCAAGGAAAAAAAGTCTAATTTTTTTGGCTATTTTTTCAAAGAATCTCATTATGCATTTTTTATTGTCAAGTTACGAAAGCAATGAAGTTAGATAGAGTTGCTATTTTTGATTATGTAAATATTGATTCATCCACATTTTATGAATGTTAATGTTTGTATCGAGTTGTTTTTTACGCATAAGATTTTGAAATCAGAAGAAAGAGAAAAATAGCAATTAAAGATAAAAATTGAAAGTGATTTAAATGTTTATGTTCTAATACTTAAATTGGTCAAAAAAGTATATAGGAATGGGAATGTAAGAAAGTGTAAGAAAGCAAGATGATTCAATTAGTACTTGAAAATGTGCTATATATACATGTAAGGTGAGGGGTTTTGAGCTGCTTAAGTTACCTGAGGTCAACCGTAGGATCAAAATTACTTGGTATGCCAAGCTGAATTGGATGTTAAACATCCAATTATGGAAGGATAGGTCAGCATCTAGGGGGTCTAATGAGTAGACCGTTGAGATGGTCGAACTAATGTAGTCTTGTGAATTCAGATTGGCCTGACACGTCGGTTCAATCAAAAATCAAAAATACTTTTAATTATCTATTAACAGTCTCTAATAAAAAATAATTATTTTATCTTTTAAACCTAAAAATACCCTCCCCACAATTTACTATTTGCAAATAGCATAGTTAAATACTCTTAACATTCTCAAGGAAAAAAAATCTAATTTTTTTGGCTGTTTTTTCAAAGAATTTCACTCTGCATTCTTTATTGTCAAGTTACAAAACAATGAAGTCGTATAAAGTTGCTATTTTTTATTATTTAAATATTGATTCATCCACATTTTATAAATGTTTATGTTTGCACAAAGCAGTTTCTTACATGTAAAATTTTAAAATCAGAAGAAAAAGAAAAATAGCAATTAAAGATAAAAATTAAGAGTGATCTCAATGTTTGTGTTCTACTACTTAAGTCGATCAAAAAAGTATATAGGAATGGGAATTTAGGAAAGTGCAAGAAAGCTTGATGATTCAAATAGTACTTAAAATGTGCTATTTATACATGTAAGGTGAAGGGTTTTAAGCTGCTTAAGTTGGCCAAAATCAACTTAGGATCAGAATAACATGATAAGCCAAGCTGAATTGGACGTTAATCACCTAGTCATGAAAAGTTAAGTCAACATCTAAGGGATCTAATGAGTAATCCACTGAAATGATCGAATTAATGTAATCTTGTGAATTTAGATTGATCTAACACATTGATTCAATAAAAAATTAAAAGTATTTTTTATTATCTATTAATAATCTCGAATAAAAAAATAATCATTATATCTTTTAAACTTAAAAATACCCTCCCTTACAGTTTACTTTTTGTGAATAGCATAGTTGAATACTCTAACATTGTCAAGGAAAAAAAGTCTAATTTTTTTGGCTGCTTTTACAAAAAATTTTAGTATGCATTCTTTATCGTCAAGTTACGAAAGCAATGAAGTAAGATAAAGTTGTAATAAAAACCATCGACGAAAGGAGGATCGTGGCGTTTGATGTTGGAAGCATGTAGTTTAATCCGAGTAGTGGACTTCAGTTCATATACTGTGTGTGTTGAATCCAGCTATACTGTTGATCTACGCACTATGATTAAAAGCCATATGTTGTTGTTTGGTAGGCTTGAAAAAGTTCATAAGCCTCAATAAACCCTACTCCCACTCAAATTTGTTTTGACTCTGTTTTTTCTTTTTTCTTCCCTTTTTCTGTTTTGATTTGTTAAAAAAATAATAATAAATGCAATTTTAGGTTAATTAAAGTCAATGATCTTTTTAATTTCTTAAATAAATAAATCAATATATAAGAAAGAAAACACACCAGCAAATACAAATAAATTCATTGATTGATCTTTTTAGGAGATAATAATCAATAAAAAAAGCTCTTGAAATTGATTGAATGGTAATCTTATTGAAAAGATGCTGAATAAATTAAAAAAGTAATCAACAATAATATGATTAATCTGAATAAAATTAATATATATTTTTGATAAATTCAATTATTAATATTTAAATATTGAGAAAATAATTTTAAAATTGATATTTGTTCTATATTATGCTACATATATAATGTCTTTATCTAATCATTTAAATAATAAACTATTCAATGAAATAGTTAAAACTTTAAAAATCTTAAATGTAATATCTCAGCCATTTCAACAAATATCACATTGATGTATTAGCAGATGTGACCAACGTTTCATAAATCATCTCTCGCTGTCGCTGCTCATTCATACGTCTTAAAATAACTGGAGCTAACACAAAATGTCACAAGAAAACTTCTGTCAAGTTTACTAGAATCAGTCATTTACAACCATACAAATACTCCACAGTAGATTCAGTAACTCAAAGCAGTGTTGTTGGTTGAAATAGCAAATGGGGGTGGGGATAAGGACAATACAGAAACTAGAAGGGTAAAGCCCAAAATCCCAGAACCTAATGTACCACATTTACTTAGGATTTCTAAGAACAATTATAACAGAATCTCCCCTAAGGAACATCTTGCTGATGAATCTGTCCTTGTTAACTGGAAGTGCCTTTTTCTTCCCTTTCCCAGTCTTTGGTACCTATATCAAAGGGAGAAACAATTTTACCGTTTTATTCAACTGTAAAGAAGATTCATAAGATGGAGGCATACAAAAGGAAAATAAAAAGACAAACCTCAGTCCACATCTCCCTGACATTTTCCAGAACCATGTTGCAGTGTCGATCAAAGGCTCTCACTCGGCCTAAAAGTTTTTTATTGTTACGGCAGTTGATGAGAACCTGTTTTCATAAAAATCAAATTCAGTTCAACATAAGCACATTCTCTTTAACATGCAGATGAGCAATAGCTAGGGAATCAAATGATGGGCACACTACCTGAGTGTTATTTTTAACACTCATCATCAGAACGGACAGTGGTCCTGTGTTAAATTCCTCTTCCTCATTCTTTACCGTCTGCAGGCAGATAAACAAACAAGAAATAAGCATAAGCAAACATATACCTTTTATGCAAAAACATATAAACGACAAAAATGGCATTTAAGATAGCTTACATCTTCTTCCATTGGCCGACTGAAAAAAGAGAAGACACAAATAAAAGGAAGGGTTAGTATATTGTGAATGAAAATCAACAGAATAAAGCTACTAAAGAAACAGAGCTAAAGGAGAGAAAGAGGATTAACCAATTAGTACCTCATTTTCAACTACAGAAGTAATCAGTACTATCCCCAAGTAAAACCAAAAGCAAGATCTGCAGAAATCAAGTAAAACACAGTTAGAACACAAAAAAATCAAGAAACTCTTGTACCCTTGAAAATGGAACCAGCATGGGGGACTAGAACAATTTTATATGCCTACATACCAAATGAATACTAAACTGATTGAAACACTCGTAAAATATGAAAATGCATAACTATACAAGCACCGTAAAAATTGCCCAAATGGAAATGGTATTATTATAGCTCCATTGTAAATAGCCCAATGAAACAAAAACAAAGTTTTATGGGTGAAAACCTATGCAGAATCTAGCTTTTCATATAATTTAACCAATTAACTTAAATCTATATATGATGCTACTTCAGTTGTTCTTTTTACTCGATTTTCATACAGAAACAGGGTAATTACAATACACATCAGCAAAGTAAATCTTCTGAAACCCTTCAGCTCAGGTCTCCATAACAATTCAGCATTTTTTTAGCTCAGGAGAACGAAAGTTTTCATAGTAAACATCATCAGAGTGACAGAAGACCTTCAATGCCTACTCCGAAAAGGTCAATTACAAGTTATACTTGATAGTAATAAGTAAAATGCCAAACAAATTCATGGCCTAAAACTTATTGTACAACAAATACATTTAAGCTAAAAGTTTTAGGGTAAGGATGAAAATGAAGCCTCTTCAGCTCAGGTCTCCAAAAATTTTCCGCATGGACTTTCTCGGAAGAACGAAGTTTTAATTTTAACATCCTCAGAGGCAAACATTACAAAAGCAATCAATAAAAAAATAAAGCAAGTATAAATTTGAAATTAAATAGCGGAAAAACTACAATGTCTCTTCAGCTCAGGTCTCCATATGGAATTCCGCATCGATTTGTGTCTCATAAGAACGAAAGTTTTTAAATTTCAATCATCATCAGAGACTTTTTTTTTTTTGTTATGATTGGAAAATTGGAAACCCTAAAAATTCTAGCAGGAAGTAGAAAAATATCGAAAAACTAGCTAAGATAAACTATGAGAAAGTAAGAGAAACGAGATTCACCTGATTGGCGCTACACCGATGAGATCTGATTCGAGTAGAAGCAGAATTGAGAGGCGTTTTATAAAGACTCCGAAGACCAAAAAGAAAACCCTAGTTTCTTTTTAAATTAGGGTTTTTGCTATCGGCATTGAACTTATTTTTTTTTATTAGCCCAATTGAATTAGGGTTTATGGCTTTTGGGCTATGGTTGTATAGCTTATGGGCCTAAGCCCATTGGTTGATAAACAACTCAGGCTTTGGGAGTTCATTAGAATTAGAAACAAAATTAAAAAACCGAACCAAAGTTTATGGGAGTTTTTTTATCGTCTTATTCAATTTATTATTTTGAGAAAAAAATTAATTTCATTCTTTAAATAAGAAATTAAATATGATCAAGTGCGTTTTTCATTATTTTACTTATAAAATTAAAATATTATATTAGATTTCCGAATGTGATAAAAATATTCACACGGCATCAAAAAAATATGGTTTACTCCCAAATGGAGGCGCAGCTACATGACACAAGCATTTATATAAATAAGTGAAGAAATGAAATATCCTTTTCACTTCGCATAATCTTAGCAGATGCATCTACTTTAGCTTTAGGGTAATGAAGTATTTTCATTCAACCAACCAAACAACACATACAGACGAACATACGCTATAAATGAGAACAAAAGTCTGTCGGGAACTAGGTTGACAAATATCACAGAAACACTACAGCATACTCTTGGAAGTAACAAAACATCTACATGAAAAGATAAAAATATTCAGCTCTTCTGTTTCCATGGATTCACTATCTCCATGCTCATGTCTTGTACAGAATAAAAAATAACAGTTCATTAGAAGTTGAAGTCTAAAGAACAATATGAAGGAACAAGAGCAAAATAAATAAATAAATCAACATTTTTACATCGACTGATAGAACATTGGCTTTACTATTGTATTCCATTCCACAAAAATTTGTGGTGAAGGAAACTTCATATCTGCTGGGGTCAGCGAAACAAGTAAAAGAAGCTTTTGTCCACCAGCACCTCTTTATTGTTACGTTAGTACGATGCTGATTCCTCTGAAATTTTCACTAGTCCAAAGAAAATGCTCCACTGCAGTATCTGCAAGATTCATAGAAACATAATGATGAATTTGCCTTCAGAAGATATGAAATACCACAAATAGCATATCATAAAATCCGATGCTCAGGAAAAAAAAATGCATTTTTAAGTAGTATGGACAACGGTTTTGAGCAATAGAAAACAAGTAGCTCAGGACAGAGATTTGCTCACTAATAAATCATTATAACTATTTAACTAAAAATATAGTTTAATAGAAATCACTAATGAAAACTGCATACATCCATAAATGACTAGATGCTCGAAATATTTAAGGATTTTCTTATGCAGTAAGAAAGTTAAAGTATGAGGAATAAGTACTAATAGATAGGAATATATTTAGCAAAGTGATAACAACAATCTTGTAGAAAAAAAATTGTAGAATCACAGCAAAAATCCACACTACCTGTTACTGAATTTCTCAATAGCATCAGATGCATAGAGGAGCGTTTCATTAGCTTTTTCTAAAACCATATAAAGCTCCTTCCCTCCAGTAATGCGGGCAATGATCCAAGCATTATTTTTCGCTCTAATGCACACTTCCAAATCCTTGTCACGACCTGGATTATCCCATTTTGCTCGACTCTTTTCTGAATCTACTTCTTCTCTAAGCCTATTTAAGGCAAGTAAAGATTCCTGCATTATAAGAACAAAAAAAAAAAAATTTATGAACCATCAAAGGCTTTAAAATTTATCTTGATAACTTGGTGGATTGCAACAAGGTTTGAGGGAGGGAAGCATCTACTTTCTAGATAACATCGGAAAGCACAATTGGCAGTAACTTATATATTCTATTCTCAGGGCCAAAATTTGATTGACAAACACAAATCAAATTTGACCTGAATCAGCTTTAGGAGACAATAAATAGAACAACTGCAAAGGCTATCTAGGGGCAGAATTTATCGTCAAAATCAATCTTAAATTCTAATACTATGAACTAGCCAAAAAAGAGTAAAACTATGCTTACTACTTTGGTCACTAGATCTCTGGGCACTTTAATCTTTTTCAGGACAGCAATAAAATTCAATTTAATTCTATCAGGACCACTCCTAAATCCCTGCAGTCTGTAGGAAGCAACATAAAACCCCATTGCCCATAGGAAGCAACATAACAAAATAGCAAAAATGATAACCGATCCAACTTTAAGATCCTCATAAGAAGGTTGTCTAAATATGTTCCACTAACCTAGAAATTTGACATTGTAAGCCTTCGGCATTAGAAAAAATTTAGGCTTCACAAAAATCTATGTCAATCTTGAGCCACAGAATTTAATGGTTGAAGGATGCAGACATATCTCTGATCTCTCCATAAATGGTTATGATCCTTGCTTTAAAACAGGTTGCCAAGAAAATGTAATAAACAAGGCACCTAGTCAGCCAACAAAACAATCAATGAAGTTCCAAATTCATAATTTTCATGCACAAAATATTTGAACATCCAGTGATTCGTCCCTCGAGGCAGACATATTTCTTGATGATGATAATTGAGAAAGATATAGCTTACAATATTTACATGACCAAAAAGATGCAACACCAACCTCTAATGAATCAAGATTAGCATTTCTCAACTCATCCATGCTCCCCTATCTACAATATTGTTCTTCATCATATTAAAAGTGAAATTTAAGTTGATTATCACCTAGTTCTAAGTCACATCAAATGCTAACACCTTTTCTTTGGCAAAATTTCTATCACTGAAATGATCATAAACATCCATTTTTTTTTATTTTTAAAGCAAACAATTTGTTGCAACCTTGCGAAACACCAGCAATGTATTTTACCTTTGTTAGTGTTGTAACCTTTGCAGGGGGTGAAGCTCTGGATATGTCTCTGTTACCATCCACTAACAAGTAGCGATACCCACTGACGTGATAAGCATTCTCTCCACCCCATCCCTTAGACAACTTTTCTTCAACTTTCAAAATCTTTAGTGATGCCTAGAGAATTTAGCAAAAGCAAGATAAAATAGGTGGTCAGCCAAACTGATTATGGAAACATATAATTTCTCAACTTGGTGTATTTACAGTGTACCTAATAACTAAGGATCCTTGTCTGTTAGGAACTGCTATGATGCTTACATCATATTTATTTGTGCATTTCAAATGTCCAAAAAAGTGTCATTTATGATATGATTTTACCTATCAAGAACACAAAAGGTTTTTCAAATGTTTATATCAGCAATTCTTGTTCACACTAAGTATAAATTGGAAAAAAATGGATGCCAAAACTTTGAGTGCAACAAAATGAATGAATTGGAAAGAAAATTTAGGTAAACAGGTTTGGAAAGAAAGAAAAATAATTCTAATATCAATTTCAAACTAGTGCCATTGGTTTAGACAAATAGATAAACATAGCCATTTCAGATCTGGCAATCTAAACAAGCAGAAACCACTAAGGCGAAGGGCTATACAGTATGGAAAAGGCTCTGAGATACAAAAGCAAGATTTTGAATGATCAGCAGTGGCACTAGAAAAGCAGAAAGATAACTATATAAGAAACAAATGAATTACACATGCTGTAAGACAATGTGGACAGAGAAAACTGCATAGAATTTGTGAAACTAATAGAAAAATATTGAAATGAACCGGTGATAAATGGAAATACTGATGGTAAGTATGATATATAGCAAATGTAGGAACTAACATTTTCAAGAAATTGTCGTTTCACAATTGAAACACCTTGCTCCCCATTAGGTATGGAAGAAAGAGGAATAAGAAGGATCAATGTAAGGCTCTTGTACTGATAAGCACATAGATACATCCTCTCCTCCTTCTGCTGTAGCCAAACTGTTGGAGTGGTAACATTCAAGCTACCAACATCCACACCCAAAATATCAGTGATAAGAAAACCATCCTTCCCTTTGAACCACTTGTCATGCTGCAAAGGCCTTGTGATATTATATCTATTATCTCCAGCAGGAGAGGTGTCGTGTGAGCCATAAAATTGGTCCGAAACAGATCCAGAGTGGGCCAAGGTAGATCCAGTGCCAACACGTGATGATGAAGAATTTCCTTTGTGTAAATAGGACCAGGAACTTGCTCCAGAGGATAGAGCATTTGGGGTTAGCCTTAAAACAGCATATGTGAATAAGTTTATGGTATCCTCCTGAAAACAAGATCATTAGAAGCATTAGCTTTTTATATTAAAAATGCCTAACAGAAATAGTTCCCATCAGAATTTTGACAAGGAAAAGTTATTTAGCTATTGAATATTGATGCCACATTAGCATAAAAGGTGAGGCATCTAACAAAAATTAGAAAACTGCTACATAAGCTATGAAGATCAGACCATACAAGAGAAAGTGTTGTCGACACAAGCAGGTCTTGAAATAACATGAGTGACGAGCACTGTGCATTGCCAGCACAAGATTCTAGTATTCTGACAAGTGTCTGCCAAAACAAGACGGAATCATTAAAACTATAAAGAAATAACAATTGCACAACTGCCATTTTAAGTTACATATTTTGCTATCAGTCTTATATGCTTACGGTAGAGAGATAAATAAAGTTTTAATCAAGCAACGATTGATTCAATAAGCTTCTAATCTCCAGGTTTTAAAATGATTCAGTTTAAGTTTAAAAACAGGCTGAAAATTGAAGTAGAACAAAAAAAGCAACAACACAATGTTGCCAACTCTGGCACCTGGAATGAAAGGTCAAATAGGATAATCCAAACTCATTTTTGGAAGAATTAAACCATTACTTACGAGATCAACCATCAAAAAATTGTGCAATTCATTTCACCCATTAATGCTATATCTTTTATTCTTGTAAATTAAGAAAGCAAAGCAAACAGAGGCATCTAGTGCTATATTAAACTCCTTTTACTAGTTTCCTAAGAAAATCCTATACTTTATATATAGACTTAGAAGGAAATAAGACAACATGATATTGAAAAGTGTGTTATAGAGAAGATTCATGACTCTGGATCTTACAGATGGGCTTGATTGTGATAACTTGCCAACTGAAATGCGAAAAATATCTTGATGATTACAGAAATAATTACACTCACATATATAGTGTCACTTTGCTCTAATTATATAGTTAGAGATCTTTGGTGGAAAGAATAAATGGGAAAATTTTTACACCTATGGCGGAAAAAATGGTTTGATGGTACAATTGATTCGGAGAAATAACGGCACTAGAACTCAAATTCAAACTATATATGATTATGAAAAGAATAGTGAGAACAACAGAATCATTCAAACATAGAAATTATCAATTTGACATTATACAATCCAGTCACTAGAGAATTTAGTTACACGGGGAACATAACCTGAGACTACCAAAATTTAAGTTTCTTTATCAAAACTGGGAACTTAACCCACTTATCTGATAAAATATGAATGAATTTTGGCTACTGAATACAACTCTTAACACAAACCTGAACTTCAATTGCAGCCTCCCGTCCTACAGTTAGCATCTGTACAGTCCTTCGTTCCTTTAGACAGTCTCGGAATGATGGCAACTGGAGTTTCTTCCCAACCAGAAAATCTGCCTCAAACATAAAAGTTATACATAAGGCATGAGATATAGCAACTTCAGCAAAACTTGGAAGCACAAATCCAGTGAATGCCATTTGATACAGCAACTTCATCATTACCCCAGCAGCACTCATCCAAGGGAGACCGCTTTTGACATGCTGACAATTAGTGACTTACAATGAAATATTTTGAAACAAAGACAAAGGAACAAATAAAATTAGCACAAATTTTAAGCCGGCATAAAATTTCATCTTACCTCTTAGATAATCCATGATGAAAGGGTATAAATGAGCACGAGTTAGTTCCCCACCAGGTTCTTTGTCAAGCAATGCTCTTATAGATCCATGAAACATCATGAAAAGAGCGTGAATTTCCTTAAGAACCTCTCTTAATGCATCAATCCGCCATATGGCTTCCGACTCCTTACTTTTTTCCACTATCTACAACAAAGTATAGCAGATATCAGACTAACCTATACTAACATCAAGGGACCAAAATTCTACAAATTGACCAAGATATTAAACTTTTCTCTTTTCCCACCAAATCGCTCGTAAATAAGGCAATACTTGGAAACAACATTAAAATGATTTCAAGACAGTCTATTGACAAAGGGTATCTACATCTACGCATAAAATTGTCATTCAGAAGCAAATAGACATAGAAAAATATTTCATGCAAGAAAGTCACAGCCAAATGCATACCATAACCATCCAGATATCTGGCTCGGCCTCGTAAAACACATGAGAATGTCTCTCTGCTTCTATAACCTCACAAGCCGCCTCCGGAGAGAAAATTCTGCAGAAAATTAAAACTATTTCTAAAAGAACTAGCTAAACTAAAGAAACCTTGTTCTAATTCGATTTGCATATGTTCGATCAAGGAAGTAGCTACTGAGTACTGACCGCGTGAATGTAATAAGACCTTCGCTGAGCCCAATCACGGAGAGTTGAGTCGAAAAGGGCAAATCAGCAGGAAAGAAGAATAAAATTTTGTCAAGTTCTTGTCCTTCATTCTGGCCCCTTCTCAAATCAAACATACAGAGTTGCATGCCTTCACTAGCAGTGCCAACAGAGGCCAAACCCATAAAATTTTTTGTACTGGTTCAACGGACCTAAATGAAATTAATAGAGAAACGCAAAAATTTTGAATGCAAAAAGCTATTGAAAAATTAAGGTAAAGAGACAGACAAATGCAAGGATGACTTACTTCGTAAAACGTGGTGATGTAGCTACTCAGATCATCGGTAACCAAAGATATTGAGCGAGTAGACTTTTTGGTTTGGAAATGAATTTTGAATGGCAGGTGAAAGAAGGAACAGTAAATTATAAAAATTAAATAAAATAAAAAAGAAAACATATGGGCCCAATTAGAGTTTGGACTTTTTTTAGCTATTTCCTAAAATAAATAATGAAGAAAATATGAAATTTGCCGTTTAAAAATTCGAGAACAACCAAATAAAAGTCAAAAATCAAAACCAATCAAACGATGGACAACTTCAAGCCCTTTATAGAAGATGACGTGGACGGTTCCGATGAATGTGCAGGGTTGCTAACTTGAGGTCGCACACAGTATATATAAAGCTGTCACCCGCGGCCCACCCCAGTCCCACTACTCCCACAACGTCCGTAACCGCCTAGCTTCAACTCCATGCTCTACTCTATATTACACACTTACTTCACCTTATTCAAACATCGGTATCCAAACACAACTTTCAATTCAAAAATCAAAAATCAAAATCTTAAGCAAAATCAATGAGAATGAAATTGAAGATCAAATTATCGCAGAAAAAAAAGATGGAACCAGTACCACTCTCTGCGACGTCGACGTTCATCAAGAAGAAACTCCGTTCGAAGCAACCTCGCAGAAGACGTTCTCAAATCGCTCCATTTGTTCTCCAAAAGCAAACGACTGATCTCTCCGTTGATTCCAGTTCCCGTTCTTACTTCAGCGCTAATGAAGTTTCTTGCGATTCAAGTAGAGTTTCAAATCCGAAGAAGAGGAAGTTCGGTGAAATCCAAGGTGGCTATATTGGAGCTAAGAAGAATCAAGGAAATCAAGGAATTGGAGACTCACAGTTTAGGAGGATCACGAGATCGTATTACAAGAAGGAAAGAGAAGTGAAAGGAAATGAAGTTGAATTGAGTGAATCTTCCTGCGTTGAATCCAATTCTGGTGCTGATTTTCGTTTTTTTAGTGAACGAAGTTCTAAGTTGAAGAAAGCAAGCAATAATTTGAAGAAAATTGAGAAAAACAACGCGGTTCCGGTTTCTCTCCGAGCGGCTACGCGATCGGATATTTCCTGCGTCGAGCCGACTCCTCATGAAATCTCAAAACTCTCGTCGGAGAATAAAGAGAACGACGTCATTTCGGTGACTTCCGGCTATGATTACTGCTCAACTTCTAAATTTGACACTGCAACCAAAGAGAATGTAAACGACGTCGTGGACGCCAATTTCACCGTTTCGAACTCGGAGTCTATTGTGGACCAAAAGCCAAAGAGCTCCGGTTTAGATTCTCCACATCTCGCTTGCGACGAAAAGTTCTCATTGGAGGAAGTCGTTTCTGATTACTCATCGAGTCACGAGACTGTGTTTACTGAGCTGCAACCTGATATTTTCCCCGAAACTTCGGATTTGGATTTCTCAGATTACACTTCTTCTCTTTTCTATGATTCCGGAAGCCAATTCTCTGAGAAATCGACCAATGACTCTCCCACTTCATTCACTTACTCTCATTTTCTCGAGTTCAAACAACAATTCTCCAGATCAACCTCTCCTTTAGATCCTGAATTTGCTTCACGCGCTGAAGATGAGCGTCAACTTAATCCTGCAGTAATAAGTCTACTCAAGTTCTTTTTCCAGTTATATCGTTAATTTTTTTTATTTGAATGAATTTAATGATTTAAGTTTTATGTTTTTATGAAAAAAAAAAAGGTGGTGAGATTTGAAGATGAGGAAGACGAGGAGAGTTATAAGAGTTTGAGGGAGAGAGAGAGACGGCAAGTGTTTTTGCGTGATTATGCCGAGGAATACCGATTCACGACTGACTACGGCGATCTTATTCTCCGGCAACGTTCTTTCATGGTCCGCTGGATCGTTGAGGTCAGTCAATTAAATTTTTTTTTATCAGTTATTTTTCTGAACACGTTTGAAAAGGAGCACGAGTCAAACAAAAAGTACATTTTAGATGCTCTTGATGATTTTTCACGAGCGCTGTGTAATCGAATCAAATTGCGACACATCACCATATTAGGGCATGAAAAGACAAACTACCACTTCTTCTCATGATATTCATGAAAGTTGAGACGGCGGTTACTAGAAGAATCTATGGTTGGCTAAATCTCCTTTACTGTAGTCCCCTCTTTAATTACTTTGAGCATTTTTTTTAAAAAATTTTGTGGTTTATGTTATTAATTAGCTTGTAATTTGCATTAATAGCTTCTTCATTTGTTTAATGATAATCTGTTATCAAAGTTTATTCATGTTTGCTAAAAACGAATGAGCAGCAATGTACTGCAAAGGAGTTTCAGCAGGAGACAATATTCCTTGGAGTTTCATTGCTTGACAGATTCCTAAGCAAAGGATTCTTCAGAAATACAAGGAGTCTTCAGATCACTGGAATAGCCTGTCTTGCATTGGCAACCAGAATTGAAGAAAATCAGCCTTACAACAGGTTCTAAGCTAGTCACATGCACTTTTTCTTCTTTGCATTTCCAAATGTTTTAACCACTGCACTGTGGCTTAATTAATTAGGACAACTGAAAAAAAAAAAAGGAAAATCATAAAAAAAAGGGTTACAGTTACTCTGAATTGTAAGTTTTATCTGACTAATGGAACTTGCTAATGTAAATTTATTTGTGGCTATATCTATGTCAGTGTGCGGCAAAAGAATTTTTACATTGGAAGTAACACGTACAGCAGAAATGAAGTGGTGGCCATGGAATGGCTGGTGATGGAGGTTCTCAACTTCCAATGTTTCCTGCCTACCATCTATAACTTCTTGTGGTACACTTTTTCCTCCCTCGTGCCAAGCACTTATCCATATTCTTTTACTTTCTCCTTTGGTTATTTATTATATGAAGAGTACGTGATACAATTTTGAATTGTTTGCTAGACATATTATAAAGTGCTAAATCAAGATATGATCCAAAATCATCCTAGGTTCTATCTCAAAGCAGCCAAGGCAGACGCAGATGTAGAAAAGAGGGCCAAGTATCTGGCAGTGCTTGCATTGTCAGACCATGAACAGCTACGTTATTGGCCATCCACTGTTGCGGCTGGGGTTGTCATCATGGCTTCCATGGATGGCAATCAACATGGATTGTACCACCAAGTCATTGAGGTAAAAATATATTACACTCACCATCATTAAAGGCTGTAGAAGGATGTAGAAGCTTCAATGGCCACATCAAACAGAGATAGCTAGGCAGATAATTATTGGCATTCGTCAATTACCTTATGCAGATAATTATACACTGATCATTCTTATATATCCTCGAAAAATAAAAAATATCTTCAGAATGTTTTGTAGGGGCTTGCTCTAATCTATATTCTGATGTTGTCAGAAAAAAGTCTACTAGATTCTCACAACTTTATCTGTTTTTGCAGATTCATATGAGAACCAAAGATAATGATTTGCCCGAATGCATGATGGTATGACTCCTACACAAGGGAATATTACTATAAAATAATCTTCTTTTGCATCGTTATTTTCCTTCTAATGCCTAATATGTCGCTGATTCATAATCATTTACCCTTCTATCCTTGAGCCTGCTTCATATTTATCATTGATTCATTACATTAAGTTCACTGATAATGTTGAATAAACAGAGCTTGGACTGGTTGGTACAGTATATAAGCTAGCATAGTGGCAAAGAAAGGAACCTGAACATTTACCATTACCACGCTTTCTCCATCACAAGCATTTGGTTGAGAGGTGGGTGCCAGACCTCGGCAGAGCCTGATCAAACCACCGGGTACCGGTAACTGAATTCCCTCCCCCCCCGCGAAAAAAAAGACAATTGAAACAGTATTCATTTCCAACTTAATGTCTAAGGACATCTGTTGTAAGCTGTTCATAATTGCAGTCGAAGCTCATGTGAAGTAGAATATACACAACCATATTTTTTGCATGTGCAAAATCTGCAAGTATAGTCCTATGTTAAAAAGTTTTGTTACTTACCATACACGATGTAATGACAGAATTCTATAGCTGTAGAAATAAGAATATGCCTTGTTTTTTTTCTTGGTGTTTCCTCTTATGTTCTTAAGTTAGTGTAATACTAAATAGTTCAAAAAAAGTATTGAAGTCTTGCTAAAATATACTTCAGACATTAGCTATTAAATAGATCTAATAATTTTAAACACGACAAATAATACGACATAAAAACAATATGAAAAATATACAAAATAACACGTTTAAAATTTAACAAAACAATATATAGATTTAACAAAAACTAAAAAATATATATTTCGTACTTGATGTGTGACATGAATTGTAATAACAATTTTTGTATTTTGTATGTGTTTAACACAAAATAAACATAAGGATAGACACAAATTGCAAGATCTACTGCTGGTTTTGGGTACAACAGTTCTCAAGTTGACTAAATAATGACCACAAGTACATAATATAAGCATGGCACCAGGGGCCAGGCAGTTTTTTTTCAAAAATAAAAAGAAAAATGCTGATAACAAAAAATAGAGAGAACATGATGAAAAAGGAGAACCAGATTATGATAGTGTCAAAACACTGCAAAAGTCACAAAAAAATATTTCAACGTATAATTGTTCACTACACTACTTTCTGTCTGATGTCAGAAACCTATTTTCGCAAATTCCATAGCCAACCAAATGTCAATTGCAGCAATGCTTATTCTACAGAACAACTTCAATTGAAATGCGAATATAATTTCTAAATGTCAATGCATGGCATGTTTTGCTAACACAAGGATGAGATCAGGTATGTTGCACAAGACAACTAAAAGAAATTATTAAGGCTCCATAAAATCATTCCTAGGCACAATATGATGAGTAAAGAAAGTGCTATGTTTGTCTCAAAGCATGTTAAAAAAATTGTCGAAGATTAGTATTGTATTCACATAGTATCACATCCATCTGGATGCTGATAAAAGTTCTTCACACGGATCAAAGCACGATATCTGAAATTCATTGTGTATTGTACAACAGCAAGGATGGAAAAGGAGGAATAAAGAATTAAGGCATTAAAGGAAAATGAAAATTCAAAAGCAATCATATCATTCCAAGCTTACTATCAGTTGAATCAACTGGAACTATTGGAGGCTCTGCCGCTGAAGATTCATCAAGATGGAGCTTTGCAAAGTCATTGATGATCCCTGTTCTCTCCTTGTAAATAATATCCTTTTTTTCCTCCTCTGCCTTTTCAACCTTCTCCTTGGTCAACATACTCACATCCTCAGCTGCCCTTGCAACTACATTAAATGCATTTGAAAGCCATGAAGCTCCTGTAGATACATATCGATTGCTCAAGATGGCAGTTCCTGCATTACTTGCCTTGTGCTCAGCAACAGCCAAGGCGGATTTTGTCTTTTCAGACACTTGGTATCGCTCATCCATCTCTCTCATCTTTTCATTTACGACAGCTGTCCCAATGCTTAGCTTTTCACTCAGACCCATTTTCTGATCAATAGAAGTGACTGCAGCAGAGGCATTTGAGGTCAAGTGATACCATTCATCAAATGCTTTTGCCTTGTTGACGGCATCCTTTCCCAAGACAAAGCCTTTGGCAAGCATGGTGCTCATTACATCTTCAGCCTTTTTCACATTAGAATCAGTAACAGCTGGCTTTTTCTCCTTCATAAGGCAGATTGCACAAAGATGAGAAAAGCATAAGATAGTGAATATGCAATAATTTAGTTCTTTCCCTTCAATTCTTATGAATGCACTAGAATAAACATGCCTTTTGCTATTTCTCACCAAGAGAAAACTTGCAAACAGATATGTACACACTCACACATGCGCTAGAATACTCCTGAAAAAGCATAAGATTTCCAGCTGCTGAGCCTCGGTGATATCATTGCTATGGTCTTATATGAATGTTACAACTGGTTTTAAGTTTACTAGCAAAGATATACACAACACAAGAATCCCATTATTTCAATTTACCATGTTTGGTTGGAGAGCTTCGGGGGGTAGCTGGTAATCCTCAACAGGAGTGATATTGACAGAAAGATCAATGATTGTGGCTCCCTGAATCAATGAATAAGTTGAATTATTCAAAATGAGCTCTCTATTCAAATAAGAAACAAGCAAGCATGTAATGCAGCATAATTGGAGCTCAGTGACTAGAGCTTATTGTTAGGACTTGATAGTAAAGCAGCTAACTGGAGAAGTGATTCTCTCACAGAACCAGCTCATGTCTTAAATTTTACGATATGACACAGACAATGCTGATGATGAATTCGCAAAGAACAGACCTGGAAACTTTTAATCAAGTTTGATTCTTTATTTCCATTTTCTCTAAGTAGATCTTGAAAAATACCATTGGCTAGGTGCTAAAATGTAAAACGTAATTATTTCTGGATTTTTCAAGTTGCCTGTCAATTTCAAATTGAGGAAAAATTAAAGCTGATATCTTAAGATATCCTGGTGCCTTTGGTAACACTTTTTGCCCAATGATACTATCTATAAGTTTAAAATTTTCTATGGAAACATAATCATAAAAAATTTAATCTCACTGACTAACATACAGTCAACAACATTGCTGTATCTGCTCCTTGTGAATCCTTGAAGGTAACATAAGCAACCTGAGCATTTTCGGTCTCCCTGCAAAATTCATCATAATCTTAAGGATGACTTTCCCAAACAAATCAGTCACACTCTAGTTGATGGTACCCACCTTCCCATTTCAACATATTGAATATCGCCAGAGAAAGAAAAGAATTCTTTGATATCCCTCTCAGAAGCAGCTAGAGAAATATTACTGACCTTAACTGTTCTTATCTGTACAGCACAAAGAAGCAGATAAATTTATGCTTGCATTTTTGACAAGGACTATTGCTTCTAAAATTTAGGATTATTATCCTATAGACTGGTGGCAGAGTTTGAAAATGCCACAAGGATGTTTCTATGTTTGTCATATGTCCATTTAATATATTATGTCGATTTCACAACTCAACCTTTTGATTCCTTATTTACAATTAAATGCACATATAGCAAAAATACAAAACTGCTTGTGTAGTCTTCAGGTTTTACGGCTAGTGCATATCATAATAATTAACTTATCAAAAAATTTTAAGATAACTCTTACATAATTCCATGAAATGTGGCAAAATGACACAACTTAATGCATAAACTCTTTCTCTAAAAACCAAAGAAGTCAAATAAGTAAATTGACACAATAGTTAGTTCCAATTGAAATTGAGATTAAAAACAAAGTTATTTATCTCTACTCTTCTCGACCTCAAAATCTTATGTGAGATGCAAAAATAATTTCACAGATATTTCAATACTACTTTATATTATTATCAACAAGATTGCAAAAGTAAATATTCTAAATTAGAAGTCTAAAAGAGGTTAACTATAGCAAATGATAATCAATGGAGCTCTATTGTTAATAGCACCAACCAAAAAATAATTATAAAAAAAAAATTCCTCACATCTGAACCATTGATTGTCCAGTTTGTTTTAGCATTTGTCTGTGGTACTGCTCCAAGACTCTGATTAGTATGGTCCACTGGAACCTGCATATGCAAAGATCAGTAAGGACTACAGCAAGAAGCTCTACTTGGCAAGAAAATTAATTAGCTTGATGTATGATGGACATTGATATACTGAATATATAAGACAAACATAAACGAAAACAGGATTCATGATTACATTGCAACAATAGTAAGATATTCAACCACTGGATTCAATGAAAGTAAAAGCATAAAACAGATAATATTTCACTCTTTCCTTCTACCAAGGAAAATGCTCATTGCTACACTAACAGAAACAAAGCTCAATTGTCAGTGGTATGCTTGCTTGGAATCATAACATCAATTGTAATTGAATCATATGTCTTATACTTTGGGCATTTTATGCTTCCTACCCAAAGAAAAAAAGCAACACTTTTTTATCTTATTTTGAAGATCAAGATATCACTATAACCAATAATTTGATACTGAGCCTACAAACTAACTCCAAAGATAATGGAAATACTACTTCAAAGATATTAAAAGAACTATAAAACAAAATGCATAAATTAGAAATAGAATGAAATGCAAGGCAAACCCACAAATAATAATAACATGAGCACAAAACTCAAATGCGATACAACGTAGCACAAGTTGCAATCTTTTTGGTTGGAAACATCAAAGTTACAATTTTCACATGTCATTTCATATTTCTCTATATATATCAGTTCATATTCTCCATGATTTGCTTCCTAGAAAGCTAAAAGAAGTACCCCCAACTGAATCTTTGCATTGAAGTTGCATTCATAACCCAAGAAACACAATGAGATCAACTCCAAAAACCCAAAGAACTATTTGGGTCTAGTAAAGATCAACTCAAAATTCCAATTTTATGGTTCCATTTTTCCTACATTTTCCCAGCAACCAAACAGAGCAACACCGACATTTCTCTTTCAGTAAGTCGGTCTTTTTTTCCAAAAAAAAAAAAAGGTTGTTGGATCTAAGTAAACAAAGGATCACATTCATCAAAAACATAAAAAGTAAAGAAATAAACTCACCGACATTTGAAGATTGTAGAAAGAATTGCCAACAAGAAGATTTACAAAGAGTATCAATGGAACGATGTTGCTTAAGGAAACAAAAGAAAATTGGATTGGATTTTGATATGGAGAGAAAGGAAGAAAAGTTAGCGTGGGGGCAAAGGCGTCTTTATCCAGCGTGAAATACGTGGGCTGATTTCTCGGGAGAGCGTTGACTCTTGCCATCTTTTTACTTTTCAGCTGTAAAAACTAGATAATCTCTCCTTTCCTTATCCTTTGTTTAAAAAAAAAAAAAAAAAAAACTCTTCTCTTAAACATGCTTTTTATTTCAAGTATTTTATAAAAACCCAATAATTATAAATAATAAAAGTAATAGTAATTTACAAGTAAATGGAAGTTTGAGTAGCTTCGGAATTTAGATTTTGTTTTTTTTTTTTTAGTTATCCAAAAAGAGTTTAGATTTTGTTTTTTTTTATTAAGTTTAGTTAGGATATAATTCAATATTATCAATTTGTAATTTAATTTGTAGATAATTTTATTTGATTCATCAAAATATCCCATAAAACCAACCCTCATTTTGGGTATTAAAATTAATAAATATTAAATTTTGATCATTGAAAACAAATAGTGTATTTTATCCATAACAAAAAAAAAAAACAAATTTAATATTTTACCAACCTTAATATTAATGTCCACACTCATAAAATGATAAATGCCACTTGTTTTTTTTTCTGAAAATTCTTTTTTAGAATTGAAATATACGTTTCATAGAATTAAATAGTAATAACATTAGGTGTATTAATTATTAAGCAAAAGAAAATATGTAACTGACAGAAGTTGGACCAGTTCTAGTCCAAGTAAATGCTTGACTTGTGATTTCTCGTAGATGTTTCGTAGGGTTTTTTTTTAGAAAGAATGTGATTTCTCTAACCTTTTGATTTTTCATATTTTTCTTTATAAATGAAATTTTATATCCATTACCATATTTTTTATGTTTTTATGAAATTAAAAATGTAAAAAATTACATTAATAAAAATAATTAAATAAGCAAACAACGAAACCAACCAATAAACTAAACAATCTATCATAAAATTGAACCAAACCTGGAACTTGAATTTAAAATCTCATGATTATAAGATTTTTTTTTTTTTGTTATTAAGTCCAATACCTCATCTGCTATCATAATTTTTAATTAATTTTATTATTGATTTTTTTTAAGGTTTATGAACCACATATATTCAATTTAATTATTAATATTCATATATTTTTAATAATCAAAATTCAAATCATGTAACCTATGTATAAAAAAAAAAATCGATCAAATTGCCAAAGTGGCAACCTGAACAGATTAAAATAAAAGCAAAGTTAAACATGACCCCATTGTGATGGGAAGGGCAGCCATTTAGAACATTGTCATAAACCTCATTCTTTGACATACTATTTATAATGAACGGCAACCTATCTACAAAGTGAACATATTTATATATATATAACTGTTGTGAAGAAGAAAGTCCAAAAGCCAAATTACCAGAATACCAAAAAATGCATGCTCGACTAATAACAACAACAATAGCAATAAAAATATTCTTAATTCCTTTTCATTTTCCCTATTATCTAATAATCTCTTCCCCGGATAATTCAAATTATATTTTTTTTATATAACATTTGATTCAATAATAGATATTATTTACACAAGAGCCGTAATTTATTTTGTGTGTGTGCTCTGTATATATATTAGTGAAATACATGTAATGCAACTGAACTGCAGAAATGGCCATATCTATATAAAATTGGTGTAAGAATTTGTGTAAGACAATTCTCTGCAAAAATGGGGAAAAAGTTAGGCAATACCATGTGCGACGTGAGCACAAATAGGACTTTTACCTCGTTGCTTGGTTCGCCGGATTCTCACCATCCCTATTCACTCACATCTTTTTTTTGCGGCTCTTTTTGTCTGCCACATTCATATGATATGAACAAAAAATAAATAAATGAACAAGACATTGTTGCCATGATGTAAGGAGGAGGAGGGTCCCAAAATTTGATGGTTACCGAAGATCAGATGAAAAATAAATAACATTAGTTTAAACCGACAAAGATTGAGACAAAGCTCTTGATCCATGACAACCTAAGAAAGAAAATTTAAGGAAAAAAAGGATATTAAAGGAAAACAAAATCAGGATAGATCCAATCAAATCTGTCAAAATGGGTAGATACAAAGATTAAAAATCAATCTTGAAACACTGCTGCTGCGCATCAACTTCAATTCAATCAACCATTTTTTCTCTTGTGCTGTACAATCTCAAGAAGAGTGACTTTCTTCAATTCTTTGAAAAGTATCATTTTATCAACTGTAATGGCTATGGATTTTTATTGTTTCAAGTACCTTTTTTTGCAGTATCTACCAAAATTCTGCATTGTTAACTGAGAGGAGCTCTACGAGGAATGCCTTTCCTTTTGTTCACTCGTTTCCTAGGCTTTAAACTTGCGCTCCCCAGTGTTTTGATCTCCTCCGAAACATCTGTCGATGAGAGTGAGGATTGCTTTTCTCCTGAACTTGTTTCCGAATTTTGATTGTCCTTCCAGGAAAGATCAGGAATTTCTTGTATTGGCAATTCCATTTTTTCACTTTGGTCTTTTGGCTTCACATCAACAGCTGATACCTGAAACATTTATCAGGTTGTAGTGAAGTAGTTCATCAATTGTTACTTCAGATAAAGTAAATGGGAAATTTCATTAAACTGGAGCTTCAGAAATAAGTCCAGATGGTTTTTTTGTTAGTACAATGAAGGCGACCGTCTCGGGATAGGCGAAGAGGTTGCAAGTACTGAAATTTGAATCTTAAACTTGTTAGATGTCACTTCTTAAAGATAACTGCATGAAATAATTAAGTTAAACTCCAGATTCAAATCTAGATGAATTTACCTTGCAAGCAATGGAACAAAAGCGGTTAGGTGGGTCTTGAAGGTATCTTCTACAAGCGTCACAGGCAGCACCAGTTTTTGATTTTGTTGATGGTTTGGCATCTTTAGCTTGAGGACGAGGATTCAAATGTACAGCTTTTTCACCATTGATTTTGTATGTCTGTCAAATAATTAAAAATCGTTTCACTAAAGAAAACAATGATCATTCCAATTGCTACTAAAGTTTATCAAAAGAGAAAAGTAGCAATCAAAGCAAACATTAGAGTAATTATAAGTTGAAACTGTGGATGGAAATATTGAGAAACCAATGTAGTAATAGAACAACAGGGAAAAGAAATTTGGATGGTTCAGCAAACATAATGATATGAAAATCTATTCCCATTTTGCATTCATCTATGCATATATCAATAACATCTGGAAGAAATTAATGAAAATTTTTGCATTTTATTTTGTGATTTACCCCAAAACAATCTTTTATCACATCCATAATGCTACAAATACCAACAAGGCAAAAAAGAATTGATTTGAATTGATTATCAATTTACTATGAAAGTTTCAAAGTGAAGATATGAAAACCTGAATTTTGGTACAGTCTAGATGCTTCTGCATTTCTTGAAGGCGAACCACATCTTGATAGACATATTTGCAGATCTGAAGTGACCGGTGCTGGCTGTGAGCCATACAATGTCTGCAAAACTCATGACTGCAGTCGATGCAGAACACATTTTTCTCATTTTTCCTGAGGTCTTGATGATCAGAACAAGGACCAAAGAAATCACTTTCCAGAAGGGTACTAAGCCAATCTGTTTCCTTCTTTATGTACAACCCGCTACCCACCTACAATAACAGATTCAATTCCCAGATATCGCAATAAACTTCCAACATTCTTGATTTACAATTCATTCAATTTTACATCTTTTATAAGTACTCAAAAGCAATGGAAACATAACAGTAAAATCAATGCAGAATTTCGGAAACAGATGAATTTTCAAAATCAAGAATCAACATTTAATGTGAATATACCCTTTAGAAGTATAATTCATGCAAATTTCAACTATAACAGTACAATTCAACAAACTCCAAGATTCAAGATTTAAAATTCAGACACCAACTATAAAGCTGTTGAATTCATGAAAGGTTAAACAAAATATTAAATTAACCCAAAAAGCTACACAGGCTATTTTCATGAGTATATCAAAGCTGCACTAAATACAAGATTCAAAAAGATTGTATTTCTTTGTGTTTATCTAAATTTTCCTGGGAACCAAACAGACCATGATAGATAAATAACCTCAATCATCAAAAAGAACAACAGATAGCCATCATTCAACACTTGAGATTATGTTTGATAGAAAAAAACAATTCAAAAGAGACACCAACAGTTAGTGAAAGAAAAAGAATTCTCACCATTTCTTTGCTTTGAATTTGATATTTATATATATATATATATATATATTGCTCTGATCAATACTCTAACCAATACAATTTGCAAAGAAAATTAAGAAAAATAAATGAAAAATAAGAGAGAGAGAGAGAGAGAGAGAGAGAGAAAGGAACGGAGAGTGAGAAGAGAAGCCTACAGAATGTGGAAAGAGTAATATAAGGAATGTGCAGTAAAAGATATTAAAAATAAAATAAATAAAATAAAATGGAAAGAGAAAATTTTGTCAGCAATTTTTGCTAAAGAAAACGAAGTGACCTATGATAGGCGGGAAGGGTGAACAAATCATTCTGATTGGAGCGTTAGAGCTTGATCGGACGGCCATTAATTTATTAAAGCTTTCATTGTTATCAAGTTGTTTTCTTAGAATTATCATGATCATGAATATGATTCATGAACTTTATATAAACTAAATTTTGGAACCTTAATTTTTTTTCCATAAAAATTATAAAAAATTAGTAATCTAAAGATAAAAAAAATTAAAAAGTTAAAAGTTAAAATTTGAATTTTAAATTTTAAATTTTATCTTTTGAGAACATTACATCAATTTATTGAATTAAATATTGGATTTTTTATATGTAAATTTTAACATTGATGAATTAATTTTATTGGAATTGTGAGTTTGTGAAAAATTAAAATTAAAAACTATTAATCATTATTAATTTATGAAACAAATTGGATTAAGATACATTAATTTCTCAAATAACTATGTTTTCCAAAATTTAAGAAATCATTAAATTTTAAGAGAATTTGACAAAAGAGGAAAAGAATTTTATATTTTTGAAGATTTGAGGACTGACTTTATTTCTGCCTCAATTTTCTCCACTAGGTCAGGTCAAGTGGTAATTTATTTATTGTTTAAATGAAAAGCCAAAAAAATCTTAAAGAAAAAAAAAACACTAAATCAAGATATAACAAAATAATAATCTTTGGTGGGCTGGTGGGTGATAGAAAAGAAGGTTGAAAACACAGAGAAATTTAACTTCTGATGTGGACAGGTAAAGTTATAAAAAAAAGCTGTGCATATAAAAAAATTCCTATATCTGCTCCGAAATTATATATCAAAATAATAATAAAATAAATATAAGAGAAAAAAGGCATGTCTGGGAATTATATCTTATCAGAAGTTAACCCAATTTTCAATTCATCAAAGCGATTCCTTTTTTTTCACATTTATCATGTTTATCCCTAATTTTTTGTTTGTCATTATCACTTTAGTTAATTTAATTCAATATAAACTGATAATAATGATCATTTTTATATTTATTTATTATTTTAATATTTTATAGAGAATTATTTCTACGTACAACTGATATTCGGCTACATAATTTATGGTAATCTTTTAATCTTCTCGAATTTTAATAAATTTTATTTTGTTTATCAAAAATTTCAAATTGAAGATCTTTAGAGTGTATTCTTAAGCTTAAGTTTAAGCTCCCATTATTTTAGTTACTACTAATTTTGCAGTAGAATTTTTTCTTTACTTTCTAATTTACATTTTTTACCAAATGTGAGGAGAAAAATTTATTATTTAAAAAAAAAGTAATGAGAAAAATAATTTTTCCTTTTTTAGATAATTGAAAAACAATTTTCTTTTTTTTTTCTCTCTCTTCATATTATTTTCCTTTCTTTTCTATTGAACCAAAAAGTGTACGACAGCCATTCTCTCTCTTGATAATAATTGCGGCACGCCAACGGGTTTCATATTGACGGTGCCCATATATATATTTGTGCTTACAAGTTGGAAGTGTCACTTTTTTCCGTTCTTTACGTTAGAGAAAATTCTAGCGTTGAATGCTGATTTCTTTGAGTTCCACATTATTATTCAGAAAAAAATTTCCAACACCACTTGAAAGGGATGGTGTAATATTTCAAACCCCTAAAGTTGAGGAGGCTAGAAAGTTTAGTAAATTTTGAAAAAACATGATTATAGCCAGATGCGAAACTTGGGGGTTGGCAGGCTGCCTTGGTCCCCTTGGCTTCTTGGCATCAACATGAAAAAAAAATTGACGAGGTTATAGAGGGACCCGAGATGTTATTTCCATGAGCTCGCCGTTGTCAAATCAACTTTCTCAGCACACCTGGCTAAGATACATGGGCCACTTTGAAGATATGATTCCGCAACCATTCCAAGTTATAGCCCTACTTGAGCCAGAGCTCTGTCGACAGTAGAATGCATGATTCACGCTTGCTCTAGAACCTGGGAAATGCAAGTGGACTTGAAAGATTGCAGAGATTTCCCTAGAAACAAGTCTAGTATCCGAGAAATTCTCAAGTTTAAAGAGGAATCGCATAGTCCTCAAAATGAAGACGTCAGCTCAAATCCAAACTCAAAAAGGTTTGAAAGTGGAAGAGCATTCAGCGCCAGGAAACCAAAATAGGTCTCCCAGGAGAGACATCAAATCAAACACTGAATAGGGGAAATAAATAAAATCCCCTTCGCTAACTTTTTCCTGATTTCTTCAAATAGGACTGTTCAGAAGATTAGGGCCAATAATAAGTCATTAGCATAAAAATAGAAACTATAAAATAATTTTACTTCTATTTTCTCCAGATTCTCCTTTTGAACAATACTCAATGTTACATATCAAATAGAAATACCTCTGAAGCAATAGAACAATACCCCACTAACAATTGCATAGTTTGTTAGTAAAATACTGAACTCTTAATTTTAATGACCAGAGTTTAAACCCTAACAAACTCAAATATCAAAAAAATAATAATAATAATAATAATAATAATAATAATAAAAGACATAGGACTCCTCCCAACAAAAAATAAAAGCAATGTAGATGCAAGAAACGCACCAGCAGATTAGGGAAGAATTGTAATATTAAAACCTTCATATGAAGAGTAACTCCCTGAAGTGAGCAAGTGATCATTCTCTACAAAATTGGAGGGAAGGAGGGAAGACCCATTTACATGTAAAAGTAGTACTCTTCGGGAGACAATCACCATATCATATGTTGGATCCTGCTACCTGTCTCACAAAGAAATCTTGAGCGGTTTTTTATATTTCTCGTTTGATTGATACTTTTCCCACCAGGTGAAATGGATACCAAGAACCACCAAACGCATGCAACTGAACTTTCTAATGATATCCACCTTTACTCTTTCAAATCAATCGAAGTGAAGATGGTGTTTTCTTTTACGACACCTGTTGACATACCAAGTTGCATGTTTTTGTAGGCCCATTCCAATCATCACTTTTAGGCTTGTGAGCATGACATAAGTCATGCTCATCAAGAGAAGGATCCAAAAGAATCTCCATGGCAGGGGGCGGTATGGGAGGTGAGCAGCATATACTGGAGTCAGCACTCGTATGACCTTAAAAACAGAAAAAAGATATAAATTATGTAATTTGAAATACTTGCCCAGAAAACAATAAACAACCTTTTTTTTTAAACCAAGCCAGAAATTCAATACACAGAAACTAATTACCTAGAATTTGCAAATATTTTTCAAAGCCTATCACAGCATCAATGGTAAATTTCGTGCTTTTCCCTCATCTTATACTGCCTAACATCTAATACTTTCCAACAAAGCCTTCAGAATATTATGACTTGAACTGTCTATTGAAATGTGCAGCTGGTGAAAATCTGTCAGCTTTTTCCCCATAATATTGGCAAATTTAATTTGAAAAGGAGGGCTCTACTTTCAATCATTATTATATGCTTATGCAGAGAGAGTGTTTTGCAAAGAATATGCTATCAGGAAGAAACCTTTTCATTTAATATTAAAAAGAGAAAATGGAAAAGAACAGCAAAAGGGCTAGATATGGGAAAAAACAATATAAACATAAATAAAGGAAGGAGAAGAGGTAGAGAGGGGGGAGGAGCAAAGAAAACAATTGAACAAAGTATTAACAGGTACTTACCACACAAGCTGGTGCAAGAGGAACAAAAGTGAGATTTTTCTTGCTATCTTCAGTTTGTATATTCAAAGTCTGAAAATGTTGACAGATTGTTATTTTAAAAGTTATTAATAAAAACGAGTTAAACTAGGTAATCCTTTTCTTTTTCTTTTTTTTTTATAAATAGAAGAAGCTAATCTATAGAAAGCAAAATGATAGAAGAGATGGAAATGTGACAGAAGAGATGATATACAACAACAATTTTTGTTGCCAAAAGGACAGTTTTTTTTTTTTTGGGGGGGGGGGGGGGGGGGGTGGATCAGCAATTCATCAACTAGAGAAGCATATACCTGCTTGCACAAATCTTCAAGAAATTCAGAGTATGCAAGGGGCTTTATACCATTGAATTTGGCTAGGAATGAATGTTTTATGATATCAATTAACATTTCACAAACGAAAACCACAAGTGCGTTCTGCAGAGTTCATACATGACATATGAGCAAGCCATACAAACCTGTAAAGCATTTATGATAAGAAAATATCTTAAAACATAGAGTACTATGATTTTTATGGTGTACTTACAAAAAGAAAACTTTCGAACCAAGGACCCTCAGCTTCCAAAATATTTTGAGCTAAAACGAATAAGAGAAACGCTGAAATGTGGAATCTCTCTACCGAATCTGAGAGTTAAAATAATTCAATAGTTTATATTTGAAACAAAATATATATATATATATATATACAGCAATTAACCATACAACAAAAAGAAAACTCGGACACAAAATGCCAATATAATATTTTTATAATGTTTTCCATGGGTTTACAGGTGGAATTAACTCAAGTTGGTTCTTACCCACTAAATGATACATGTATTGTTACTTCTTGTTCTCTCTAACTAATATTTCAATCAGTTTGGCAACAAGGTAGACTACAAGAAGGCATCAAAATAATACCAAAAATGGAAGAGAAGTCAGCAATATAAGTATGATGGCACGGATGGAAAGTGAATGAGAGGTATTGACAAAGGGAAAGAATAAAGGAACAAACTTCAACTAAGCATTGAAAGAAGAATACATATACTTTTTAGAAAATAAATGTCAAGAAAGAAATTGCTTAAAGCAAAGCAAGCCAAATATGATAACCATGATGGATATATGATACTAATGGGTACATAAAACATCAAAGACGTGGCCATAGCTTGGATTCTTGTCTCATAACTTTCAAAATGAACTTAACAGGAAAATATCTTCAATATTTCCCATGAATTACCAAAAAAAAAAAAATTCATCTGACAAATGTTACACCAATGGGTCCTTTAAATTGCGCAAGAATCAAAAATATCATCAGACAGTTACAAATACGTAAAAAGAAATGTGCATACGAGCAACTGACCTGAGTATACCAGACTGTGGATGTTATCCTTGCTAAAGCGTTTAAAGACATTGCTTTTTATCTCAGCAAAGTTATTGGATACCAACAAAGCAAATAGTGCATTATTATGAGCGACAATGCAAGTTGATAAAGTAATTGCCTGAGCTAATAAAATAAAAGAATGAAGAAGTAATAATAGTCAAGGAAACACATGGAAAAAGAATGTTTACAAAGGGGAAAGAGAGAGAGAACATTGCTTGAACATAAGGATATTTGAAAAAGCCATAGCCAATACTTGGTCAGAAACAAATCTGCGAATCCAGAATCTCATGTTCTCCTGAGAGCAATTTCCTAGTCCTTCTGCAGAATTAAATAGGGTTTCTAATACATCTCCACCAAAACTTTGGCATAATTTATCAAATATCTGTATGTGGACACAAGAAACAATGTTATACAAAATTCAGCCAGATACTAGTGAAAAGATACAGCTGATGGTAGTAGAGCCAACATGAATGCTAGAAGAACACACACGCTATCTACAAATTATATGAGACCATAAATGTCACTTAACAATCATGAATCCAAAAAAAATCTCTACAAGACTATCTAATCTTACTTTAGAAGCCCTAGATATGGACTTTTTGAAAATATCGTACTATTAATTATTTTATTCAGTGACAAATAAAAATATATTCCAAAAGTATAGAATTTATTTAAGTGTATGCAGCATACTAAGCAAACTTCAAATCCATGACCTTAATCCCTTTCCTTTTGAGATATTCTTGACATAAAAATTTTGTACTTGTCCCTCAACAAAAAAATGTCCCAACTCCCAACTTTAAAAAATTTATTAAATAGCATGCATAATATGCAATTGTGTTGACAAATTTCAATTATGGAGTTCAATGATTAAAAGGCCAGAAGATAAATTTCTCATTTTTCAGTATATGAATTAAGGAGTATTTAATTCTCAACAACTAGAAACCTATGGCTATGAATTGCTTTCCGGCATTATAAGCATGTCTCCTTGACCACTTTAGAAGTTATCAATCCACCTTATAAAATTGGTATGTTCTAAGGTTAGAAAGACCAATGTGAACTCCAATGGTGGACACCACCACAGTCCCTCATTGCAATCACCTCTACTAGCACTTGTTGAGTCTGTTAGGTTCTAACATTACTAGATACTGAAAACAGAAAATTCTATTAGTAACCAAGAAAGTTTACTTGATGAAAGACTTTTACAACCTTTTGCATCCTTTTGATGGTGTCACTCTATTAAAAAATCTTCTGAGTGAAACTCCCAAAAGCTTTTCCCATATGTTTCCACTTGTTTCTTTATTTCTTTTTTTCTTTTCTTCCACTTTTATACAAACTTTTAATCTATAGCTGGAAGAAAAAAAAAAAAAAAGAAAAACTCAAAATTTTAACCAACTCATCCATCAAACTCAGGCCCTAAATCCATGAAGCATCAAAATCTCAGACAGTCCAACGCTTTGTTCAAGGTAAAGGTTCAGCCCCTGATCTGCACCCTTAAGTGCATATCAGTAAATCCCTCAAAGTAATTTGGAAATATGTAAAAGTTCTCAGGTCCAGCTGTTCATTCTCACCTCCAACACATTGTAAACCACATAGAGTTTGATCGTTCCTTGACCGCGAATCATGTGATATATAAGGCTGATATCTGGGAAGACAAAAACTAAAATTAGAACAGAAAACTGCCTATGAAATCAGTATTACTAGTTCAACTCTTGGTCCATTAGTGGAAAAGCATTAATTATGCCTCAAAGTCTTAACAAGCAGCAATACCACTTGGATATTTGTTAATGATTGTATATTACAAACATTCATGAAGTGATAGTCCAGCTATACCTGTTCGCTCCAGGAGAATAACTCCACAAGCCAGAACAGCGAAGCAGCCAAAATCACACAGCTCTGCTGCAGAAGGCCTCTTGAACTGCCTGCCACAAACAGGTTAGGTTATTTTGCAATCATTACAAGTTACAACAACTTTACTATGTGCCTAAAAAGAACTATATAGACAACCAAAGAGCTTAATTTCACATATGGCCTGAAAGAAACAAATGTTGATCAACTAAAAGGAGCATAGGGGAAAAAACATTTTTATCATACACATACTTTAAGAATACTTCCTAATTTTTTGGAATACCTTTTGTTTACAAGAACAAAAACTACATTTTTGTTCTCATCTTAATTTTGAGGATAAAAAGTGAAACATTTGCAAATTGTTTTTAGTTCTCCGCCAGTTTAAAATTCCATCATCAAGAACATTGTGCTCATTTTAAATTACTAAGCATGGTTTTAAATTTGCTTCTGCCTCATTAAAATAAAACAAAAAAGGGAAACCAAGAAGACACCCTGAAAATTTTCAGGTTTCCAATTTTAGGGCCTATTATCACCATGCTACACTTTCGGCTACTCAATCTCCAGCAATCACAAGCCAGAATCTACACTCATATCTTCTGAGGGCAAAATTATTGTTAGAAAAAAGTGGTTTCTTCAAAGAAAAGAATAATCAAGAGAAGATGGAGGAAGTATTAAATATATTCATGAAATGGAGTTGTAACCAAGTTAAGAGAAAAAAAAGATGATTACGAAGACTGTCTTCTTCAAGAAAAGCCAGGCATGATGCCAGCCTTTTTTAACCTTCCAAATGCAAGCAGGAGTCATAATTTTAACAGAATAATTTTACTACAAGGAACAAGCCAAAAAGAGAAAAAACAAAACTGTTTGACCCTATTTTGTTACAGGCATGGGGAATCCAAATCATTTTAAATGAGCAATGAGACATTGTAAGAGTAATCAACCAAACCAAATAATGCTCATCTATTTGCATGTATTTATGTGGTACATTTACATGCATGAATTCCCAACAGATCATACATAGCAAAAATATGTATGTGCGTATGTATCATAGAATGATAGCTAACCTTGTAGTCAGGAGCCTCCAAAGCGTAATCAGAACCCTTGTAGGCATGATAGTTAACAAGGACAGAAATGAATCGAAGCAGACGAAGAAGCCAACAGCTATAAGCTGAAATAATGTTGCTACGCTTGAGAATTTTTCAAAAAAAATAATTTTACTAGAACATAAATCAATTTGATTAAGCAACCCACCAGAAGTACACCATTATTTCAGCATTTTAAAAAATAGAGTAGACATGTCAGCTTCAATGCAGAAAATTTAAATACTAATAAGTTACCAAATGAGGTAAAATGAAATCCAAAAAACACAGAATAATAAGTGCAAGGAAACTTATCATTAATAAATTGATGAGGAAACTTATCATTAATAAATTGATGAGGTACAGGTACAATGACCAACAAAATCCATCTTTGTTCTCTATTTTCTTTTATCCCTTTCAAAATTCAAAAAGGGAGAGTTAAGATTACCACTTCACATCTCCATGGCAAGCGGAAGATGGTGTCATAAACTCTCTCTCGTTCTTTCTCACTACCAAGTGTTGTGGTGCTCCGCAATGAATTTCCATTATACATTTCCTCCAAAAAGTATTTCATTGGTGATTTCTCCACTGTATAAAGATCTGACAAGCCAAGGACCAATACAAGAGTAGATCTTAAACTTGCATTTCCACGAAAACATAACTAAAATAAACCAGAGAATGCAGATATAATGCTCAGACCCCTAATTTTTTCCTCCAAGAAACCAAACTTAAGATCAGAATCCTTGTTTAATAAATCAGAGAACATTTTCTATACAAAATTCCACCAAGTAGTTAAACTGAATGCAAAAATCATAACTTCCTGGATACAACATCATGAGCAATGCTCATAGAATGAAAGCTTACAACATATAAAAATATGTTAGACAACCCATTGGATAACCTGTATATGCTTCTGTCGGTACTTTTAAGTTCCCTTTGATCAAAAAGACGATGGAGTAAATGAAACTTTACAAAAGGGGTTACAAGTAAAGAAAAGGAAAGGCATCTTTAAAACTTTCCTCTCCTTTCTGCATTAGGAAATAAACATAAAATACAACCATACAGCATGCAGAAATCTTTACCTACTATGCATGCATGAGTACCATTCTCTTTTATGTTACGCAGAATTATGACACACAAATTTGCCACCTCTTTTTTTTATAACATTCATCAATATATAGGAGTAAGCCTCAATCAGAAAGTACTTTAGGTCTGCCACATAAATTTTTCCATTAGACTCCACTACGGTTTATGAAGAGGCTTGATGGACATCAGACCCTGTGTTCTAAAAACTCTCTAACTCATTGAACCGTTTTAATGAATTAAATTTATTTCTTCCAAAGATTTACAATTTGTACTCACACCATCAACCATGGTGATTTTAATAACTAGTAATGCTAACAGATGACTGACAACCAATTTATAATAATAGTTTTCTTGAATTGGTTAAGAAATAATGATTAAAATCATATTTGAACAATTTATTTATACTTGTTCCTTAATTTCTTCTTGTATGTTACATGCACCAAAATATATTTCCATCAAATTCGCAACCAAAAAAAAATTCATTAAAGAATGAAATTGCGTAAAAACTCACAATTAGGATCCTCTGCCATGAGCCGCTTCCAATACAACGACTCAGCCGTCTCCAGCTTATTCACCAAATTCCCATTCGCCACCGGCTGAGGCGGTACCGGCGGAAACGGCTCCTTCGAACTACTCAACTCCACGCCACTCTCGTCCGCCCTCGCTGCCACAGTCTCCATCTCATCTCCCCCGCTTCCGTCAACTCCATTGACACTCCTCTGCCTCAATTCCCCAAAACCACACACATTCTGGCACACGCTCTCCTCCAGCAACACGACGCTTCCGCCACCAACGTAACTGATCCTGTTAACATTTCCGTTATCTATGATCCCATAATTCTCGGAATTCGACTCCACCAAGACGCTGCTCTGGCGCTGTTTCTCGACCGGATCTTCCGGGATGATCGGGAACTCAGTCGTAGCCTCCTTTTTCTTCTTGTGTTTCTTCTTCTTTCGATTATTGCGGGACGGTTGAGTGACGCCGTTTTGGGATTGGATTGGATCTGAATTTGATCGGTATCCTTCTTCTAAAGAGCTACTTTTGCTTAAAATCTCGAAAGAGAGCTTTCTACTACTTGATGATGTCAACGTCATCGTCAATCGTTACCCAAACATTTGAGAGAAATCTAGAAAGAAAAAAATAATTTCATAAATAAAATTTCAAATTTGGATTTTGTTCATCCTCTGTTTGTTTTGCGTTTAATTGCAGTGAGTGGGCTGCCAGTGGAAATCCGTTTTTCCAAGGAAATACGTTTGATGATGTTTCATCTCGAGTAACGCTACTGACGATGTTCGACAAATCAACTTTTTCCACGTAACGCTTCTTTCTTTTTATGAAAATATTTTACTGTTTCTTTTCTTTTTTCTTACGATAAATAGCCTTTCATTGTCCTTGATTTTTTTTTTTTTAATGTTAACCATATGTTACCTTATAAAAGACCAACAAACAAATATAAATCTTCAAAACCATTAAAATATAATTTGGCGTCTTTCATAAATCATTGAAAATTTTTTTAATACATTTAAACTTTATATAAAAATATTCAATTAAAAATATTTTAATGAAAAAAATGTTTAAAATCTTAATTAATTAAAAGCTACTAAAATTTTGTTTAAATGATTAGGATTGTATTTAATAAAGTTATTAATATTGTATCATATAATATTTAATTTTTTATAAGATATATAATATATATCGATATAAGTTATTTTGATATATTATTTTAATTTTTTTGATTTAATATAAATATATTTATAAACATAAATGAATTTATATATTATAATATTATTAATAATTTACAAAATAAATATATAATATCTTCAAAAATTAAATAAACAAATTTACAAATATAATAAATAATATCATGAAAGTTTTATGATGTTTTTAAATATTTAATCTGATTATATGATATTTAAATAAATATTTTTATATTAATATTAAGATAAAAATAAAGAGATGAAAAAATTAACTAATACTTTATGATTGTTAAATTTTATAAAGAGAATATAATAACTTTTTTAAAAGAAATTAAAATATTTATAAACTTTTATTTAAACAAATAAAGTATAAAATTATAAACTTTGATTTAAAAAATAAAGTATAAAAAAATAACTTTTAATAAAAAAAAAACTCAATTTTCAAGAATTATTTTATCAATTAATTTTATTTTTATTATGTTAAAAATAATTAAATAAAAAAAATAAACTATAAAATATAAAATATATTTCACATTCATGAATCAACTAAAACATGTTAATCAATTAAAATTTATCAAAATTAGTCAAAACTAATGAAAATAATTAATATTATTTAATATTAAATTTGATAAAAAAATTATCTTTTAATATATTATATTTTAATATAATTAAAACTTATTTATTAATATAATTGATACCGAAATAAAATTAATAACTAAAATATTTAAATCTCTAATTATTCAGGCACGGCACGATTTGGAACTACAACCACCATTGGAGTACGTTTGTATCTCACGCTCCAACGCGATTGAACGTTCTCTAGCCTCATTAGAGGTTTCGACAGTCACTAAACCTTTAAGGCACCAATAGGAAACCATTCTCTCAACCGCAGTTCTCCTTCATGTCCTGCCATTTTTTTTTTTTTTTAACTTCTATTTGCACCCTTTTAAATTACTCTTCATACTCAATTACGATTAACACCCCAAATTTAAAATTTAAAATTTAATTTTTACTCGTTACATCTCTTAACCACATTTCTTATTTTCCCTTAACACCAACCACATCTATTTTTCCTATCCATTTTCAGTTTAATCTAACCCCTTAAATCCTAACCAAAAAATTACCCAAAATCACAAGTTTTAAAGCTAGTCATCTCACTAAACTTAAATTTAAAAATAAATCACCTTTAATTTTGTTAAATTTTGATTAAATATTGAATAGATTGATATCTCTAATGAGATATTATACGTAAACTCGTAAATTTCAAAGATGCAAATTCATATTTGCATTTTAAAAAAATTTGTAAAAATTTTTGAAAATGTGAATACAAATTTAAAATTTTTAAAATTTTCTGACAGCTTAAATCTGAAAACTTGAAAAAACTTCCCAAAATGTCAATCCAAAAACTTGAAGAGAAGAAGAAAACAACATAGGTGCATGATGCACTGAAAGGTAATTTAACAAATATTAATTAAGTAATTTTATTTAAGAATATTTTAATAATAAAAAAAGGGTGCGGAGAATTTTTTTAGGTGCAAACATAAGAGTTTTTTTTTTTTTTTTTTGCCCTCCAATGTATAATGCATCGATGAAAATACCTCTTATCACTAATAGATTTTGTCTATTGATTTTTTTGTTATTTATATTTTTCATTTTTTATAGAAAGTTTTTGACATAACATTCTTAGAATTATATAATAAATCATTTATATAATTATATCAATAGCTAAAATACATAAATAAATAATCAAATTTATAATAAAATCATATCTGATAAAAATTGAAAAAGATAAACATTTTTATAATTAAGTAATTAATTATAATAGATAACTAAATCAATAATAAAGCAAACCAATGGACGATAATTTTATTTTATAATGTTTTAATCTATTATTATGTTTTAAAATTCAATTTTTTATTTGTTATATATTTTATATTTCATATATTTAATATTATTTTATCAAATAATATTTATAACTAATATTAATCTTATTTTTCAAAGTATAAACTATTTCAAATGATTTTTATATTTTTTTTATTTAAAAGAAGACAGAATCCTATAATAAGAGAGAAGGAGAGGTTGGGGTCGGAACCCAGCCTTTTTTTTTGTAATTTTTAATACTTAGTTCCCAACACATTTTAATGCCGGACTCACAAGTCACAACAACACTTGTTAACAGGAACGGATCCCAATGGAGCCCTCCAAAGTTTTGAAAATGTGTGTGTATATATATACATTTAAATTGGTTTTTTAATTAAAATATGTTAATTTTATCATTTTTTTATAAATTAAATTTATGCATTGTAATTTAAGAGATATTTAATTCATATTTATAATTATTTATTTATTATATTCAACAATTATTATTTGTAAATTCTTACATTTATATTTTTTAATAATTTATTTTATTTGTATTTTTTTTTAGATCTTTATAACATATTGTAATTATTTTTTCAACAAAAAAAAAAAAAAACCATTATTTGAACTATTTTACAAAAGGATAGGAAAAGTCCAAACTTATAACCTCAAATTTTCATCTCCTTTCTTTTAACAGTATATTTAGTTTTCTTATTTTGATAAAATATTTAATGATTGATTTATTCATATTTTTTATTTAACTTTTAAATTGTCAAAAAAATTCTATGTAATTAGTAATTCAGCAATTAATTATAAATCTTGTTATTATTAAAAGTATAATGTTATAATAATAATATTTTTATTTTATAATTTTATATTCTTATCATTTTTTTATTAGTGTATTGTTTACCTATATATATATATATTAATAAGAATGATAAAATACGGCTTAGAAAATAAATTAGATAAAATATATTATATATTATTATTGGTCCCCTCTAAATTATATATCAAGATCCAGCACTACTTGTTAAATTCTTAATATATATATATATATATATTTTTGTAATTTTCATGATAGTAACTTGCCTACCTACATTTTATCCCGGGTTTAATTTATTTTATTTGTAGTTAATAATATCAAATAATAAATCAATGCTTTTATAATTTTGAATAAAAGTAATAATTAGTAAAAATTTATCAATTAATTTATAAATAATGTATGTATTTTATTATCATAACTTCTATAACAAATGAAATATAAATTCATTTTTACAAATTTATTTTTTAAATATAATTAAAAATATTAAAAGATATAACTAAAATAAAATTAAAACTAACAAAAAAAAAACCCAAATAAAAAAGATAAAAATAAAAAAAAATCAAGTAAAATAAGATGTCATGTAGGTACTTCTACTTAAGGATAGTAATGGATAGAGAAGGGATGTGTTTATGTTTACCTTCTCTCTAGCCTGATATCATATTATTATTTTTTATACTCAATTTTAACTCAACATATATATATATATATATGTATGATTCGTATCATATTTAATTTTATTAACAATTAATTTAATAATATAACATTCACATCATATAAATTTTTAATATAAATTACATTTTAATTATATATAAATATAATATTTTATTAAATTAATATATTAGATAATAATTTTATTAATATAATATATAAATTAAATTAAATAAATAATAAATTATATATTCTTATTTATATCCAGAGACAAAATGATAAAAGGATAGGACAAAGCATCTTAATTAAACTCACCTGTGATTTAACTTCGATCGCTAAAAAGATAAATTATTCTACTTCGATCTGATTCCCATTTTAAAAAGTGATCGTTATAGCATTGGTATGTCAAAACCATCATTGTTTTGACACCTCCACTATCATTGACTCCGTTTAATTTTTTAAAAAATTCGATTAAATCTCGAATTAAAAAAAAAATAGATTAAAGTAAATCAAAATCTATCACATATGTATTATTTTATTTTTTTTTCATTAATTTTTTTTTTATAAAAATTTATCTGATTAAAAAAGTTAAAAATTAAAAAATATAAAAGAAATGGTAAAATAAAACTAAATAATAACCATATAAATTTATTAAATTAAGATAATAAATAAAACTTTATTAAAATAATACATATAAATATAAACTGATAAAATAGTTTTATATTTACTCTAAGCAACACGAAACACCCTACTTTTATTGATTTTTTTATTTACAAAATTTCTCTAATAAAAAATTTAAATGAAAAAAATCAAACAAAAAAATAAATAATAAATAATAAATAATGTGTAGATTTTGAAAGAAAAGTGGGTTACCGCGTGAATACGTACTTTTTTTTTTCAATTTCTACAAATTTAATATTATAGATATTTATTAATGAAATTTAAAAATAATATTAAAATAAAAACCAAAAAAAAAAATTGATGACACTTGGCAGCAAAGGTTTTGACTGATATTTGGCAACTAAGTCCCCATAAAATGCATTTAATGTGCAGGAAGATATATATAATATACCAGCTCACAATTTCAAAACAGAAAATTATTTCTTTAAAAAAAATATTTCTCATAAGATCTCAATTAATTTTCAACCTAAAAAAAAAAAAATCTTAGAACGTATAAACCCTATAACTCAATTTCCTTTCTTAAACGGTAAGAATAAATTCCTTTCTATTTGTGTCCAACTGTCCATATTGGTGAAATTTTCAACTTGATAATTAAAAAATTAAAAGGTTACAGTGCCTATATATATATAAACCCATGATCTCAATTTGAATCATATTACTTTATCAATTGATGTAATGGCAAATACCAAGTTTCTTTCAATCTATCTAATTTTTCTATGCCTTATTTTCGCTGAAAATTCAGATCTTTACTCATGTATGTATATTTTTATTATTATTCTCGCATTTTATTTTATACTATTTCTCAAAATCTAATTACCTACTTGTTTTTTAATTTTTTTTTTTTGTTATTTTACAGGCAGGAACATCAAGCTTGGTGGTGATGGAAATGGTTTGGAGTTGATGGAAGCAAATGGCACTGAAGCTGTTAAAAAAATCACACTATCACCATGCGCTAGAAGCCTTTGTAATGGCTTTCATAGATGTTATTGTTGCTTTACGGTGCCAGATATAGGATGTTTTGAGGACCGGGCTTACTGTGAATCGGTTTGTCCTGCTCCTCCTGGACTACCGTAATCCTCCATTTCCTGCTACACAATGTGTGTTTTAATTTCAATAAATTCACAATGAAAATGAAAAATAAAATAATAGTTTTAAAATAAATTAGTATTTGATGTAGTGTAGTATTAATATTTCAACATGAGTTAATATTTTTCTTTATTTTATATATTTAAAAAAAATCAAAACTTAAAAAATAGCAAAAATTGTAAGTGTTGGAATCGAATTTTAATTTTACTAAAATCCATCTCCTAAAAATGGTGGATGGCCAGTCAAGCTAAATTTTAAATTCATTCACTTTATACATTGATAATAATAATAATATGAATAAGATCAACTTATATTAGTATAAAATTTCTTTGTTTTATATATTTTTTTAATTATTGATTTTATTAGATCAAAAGATAAGAGACAAGTAAAAAAAAATTATTTAATCTCATATCTTAGATCTATTGAAATTAATAATTAAAAAAATAATATAAAACTAAAAAATTTTGCACTAATATAAGTTGATCTATCCCTATAATAATAATAATAATAATAATAATAATAATAATAATAATAATAAAGAATGATAAGGCCGTAATTAATTTTTATTAAAATTAATACATAAGGTAAGATGATGACATTGACTCACTGAAATAAAGTTTGTAAGGTTAAAATTGAGGGGGAGTTTGAATTTGTATTATCTCAATTCAATAGTTATAATTTTTTATTCTAATGTTAATGAACTTATTTTTAAGGTTTAAATTGATTGTAATAATGACTTTGGTAGGGTTAATTCTTCCTCATTTGTTTAAATTGATTTAAATATAATCCAAAACATTATTAAGTTTTGCAGTTAAATTCGACCACCTAATTTTTTTTTAATGACATTACATGCTCATTAGAATTATTTTCGCCACTTAGAACACTTAAATATATATATATATATATACATATACTAAAAATGCTAAATTTATTTTCTTTTAGAACCTAAAAAAATATTAATTATTATTTAATTAAAAAAAGTATGATTTTTTTATATTGATAATTTTCCTAAGATGATAATCCACCTCAACATATCAAGTGATCATCAAAATGCCACATCATCCAAGTTAAGAAAACAAAATTTTAACTCTGGTATTAATTATTTCTAAATTGACTTCTAATGGAAGTATATTAGATTTATCAAAAATTCATTAGAGTAAATGAATCCAAACCACGAAAATAAATTAAAATTTATACTTAAAATTGCATCCGTGTGATAAAATAACATTATATTACTGTTATTTTATTTTTTGATATAAAAAAGATCACAATATAAAGATATAAAAAAGGAATGTAAATTTTAAGATTTAAATTTTAAATTTATTAAATATTACTTTAAAGATAATTATATGAATAAATTGAGATTAACGAAATTTCCATAATTTTATTTAACATTTATCTACTCCAAAGAAGTCTAATAAAATATGCCTTCCCAACAAAATTACAGGCTCCTATGTATGTTTAGGAGGAATTTGAACCTTGTCAGTTGTCACTCCCAGATCCCATCGATGACAGAAATCAGGCAATCAAGCAGTAACCACCATTGCTAAAAGCAATGAATTACATCTACATACATAGAAACGTCAAGAAATTAACTCGCACACTAATCAAGTATTCAAGTATTTACTCATCTACCAAGTAGAAGATTGTGGGTTTTTTCGGTTCTGTGATCTCCACAGTCCCTTCCAACATCTTAGCAACCTTCCCCATGGATGGCCTTGCCTCTGGCCTGTCTTGGAGGCACCAGAGTGCAGTCTTTACCATGCGATCCACCAAGTCAAAATGCAGTCGGCTATCAAAACAATGCTTAATTTGACGGTCCAGGATGTCCTCCACCTTCATTTCCTTGAAAACCTTGTCAAATGCCCACCTTGGAAAATACCAGTCTTCACTGTCCATCAATGACCCTTGCATATCAAAGTTCCTAACCCCACTCACAAGTTCTAACAACACCATTCCGAAGCTATAGACGTCAGCCTTGGGAGTTATTGGATCCATCTTTACCCACTCCGGTGCCATGTACCCCCGGGTCCCTCGGATGCGTGACATGCTGACCATGTCCTCCTTTTTCCTCAACTTTGCCAATCCAAAATCAGATATCTTGGGGCAAAAATCATCCCCCAAAAGTATGTTTTCTGGCTTTATGTCACAATGTAACACCCACTCTAAGCATTCCTCGTGCAGATACGCGATTGCTCTTGCCACGCCAAGGGCAATTCTGTATCGGATGTTCCAATCAAGAATAGGCTTGGGCACGTCAGTGCCAGATGGATCCATCTCCTCTTCCTTATCTAAAGAGGGGATCCGACTCGCAGGGAAGAGGTACTTATCAAGAGAACCATTAGGAACATACTCATAGACCAGAATTCTTTGACCTTTCTCAGCACAAAATCCCCATAATCTGACCAAGTTGAGATGGTGCATCCGGGCAATAATTGTTACCTCTGCCCAAAACTCTGCATCCCCACCAGTCACATTCTTCAAGCACTTCACCGCAACAACACGGTGATCTGTTAATTCCCCTTTATAAACATCACCAAATCCTCCTTTTCCAATCAGATTGGAGAAGTCATTCGTTGCCGTTTTGAGCTCTGCATAGGTGAACCGTTTTGGCCCCCCCGCAGGCAAGAACTCGAGGCCAAAGGTTCGAGCCATGTCTCTATACTTGATGTATTTCTTCAGGAATCTCCAAAAGAAAAGAACCCCAGAAATAAGCTCAGCAGCAAAAAGGGTACATATTATCACTATATTCCGAGTCGTGGTATCGGATTCTTCAGGTGGGAAAGGAAGGCTTATATTAACAGGACATGTTGTTTCTAACAAACTTGTCATACCCGTGAAATTGGATTTATCAGTTTCTGATTTGTCAACACGCAAGAAAAATGCAGCCTCAGTCCCTGGAGACCAGTACCCGTAAAGCAATCGATCAATCTGGAGCACGCAATATCCTCTTCCATCATATTTGAAACCAAACCCCAGACAATTTAGATTGGCCAGGCATCTGGATTCACACATTGAGAAATTCTGAACATTGAGATTACTCTGATTTGCGCCTCCAGAGAAGTTAACATAATCCAGCTGAAGAAACTTTGTGTCTCTGGGATTCCTGAGTGGAATTTTGATCTCACATGAGTTATTATCATTGGCGATTTTCCTGAATCCTGGTGGGCATACGCAAGAAGTGGGATCAGAATTTGATGCATCATTCATGCAAATAGCATTAGGCCCGCAAGTTCCATGAACCGTGCACACCTCTTGTACAGCTAGCCAAACAGCTTCCTGCTCATCAGTACTCGGATCAACGCTGTAAATCCTAAGATTTCCATCATCATCCAATGTCAGTCTCCGAAACCGATTGGGTTCACCGAAATCTGAAGAAACCAAAGTAGCTCCGTTATCTTGAACTACCTTTCCACTTTCTTCCAGTTTCTGAAACGGATTATCAGTACTCCAGTATTCAGAAGAGTTAAAAACCAGGCTTTTTCTATTCTGGAAGCTGAATTTGCCATTTTTCGAATGCAACGTTGTCTTCAATGTCTGGTTAGGCAAAATCGTATCTGTTGGATAATCAAAACTCCGCCAATTCCCATAAACAAGATTACCTCCATCTTCCAAGATTAATGTGGAATTCCGACTACCAGTAGCTGCAGGCTGCCCTGGCAACAAGTTTTGACCTGAAGAGTTGATTAAACGAAGCTCACCGGTATCGCTGATGTTGAGAGAAGAATCACTGGTGACTGGAGAATTAGCATTAGCTGACCAAACAATGAACCTATTTCCAGATATGTTGTAATACCAAATAGAGAAAGTATAGAGATTTCCAGAAGAGGTTAATGGTATAAAACCAGCTGCGAAGACCTTGTTGCCAGAGACAAGACTCTTGTTTTGAGTTGGGAGCCATGGGAAGTCCGAGAAGGAGAAAGATCGGTCTTGCTGGGACAAGGATGGTAAAGGGTTTGAGAGAAGGAGAGTGAAGAAGAGGAAGGAGACTAGGAAGAGAAGAGACATGGTATTTGACTGGCTGCTTGCTTTGTTTTGATACTATGGTATTTTCTTATTATATGAATTGCGAGGTAGGCTACAGCTGGTCAAGGCGTGTTAACGGCGGCTTTGAATGGCCGTGCTACGTTGACGCTAGACCTTTAGAATTATTTGATGGCTGGTGGCCACTAGTTTTTCATCTGTTGTTGGGGGTAAGGGGGGACCCTAATCAAATTCAGCAATTTTTAAATAGGACAAAATGAAGATAAAAAAGAATTACATCGAAAATCAATGTCAATATCTCAGTACAAAATGTTACAAATAAAATAATTTGATCCCAAAAGGGCGTTGGAAGTTGGAACCTTTAGAAGTCATTGGTTCTTATGTCTGGAAGCACAAACCCTTCAAAAGAAGAAAAATTGAACCAAATTGGACGCTGGAAACTTGATTGAGATTTAGAAAAATCGATAGGAAAACAAAACCTGGAATCAAAGCCTGCTTGGATGGATTGAGAAGAGAATATATTAAACAAAATCCAAAGAAGTCTTGTCGCATTAAAAAAACATCATTGATAGTTATCACCACTTTGTTGAACAAGATGACTAGACATCTGTTTTGCCGTGCTTCTTCAGGCAATACCCGGAATTACCTGGGAATCCTGGCACAGAAATATAATTATTATCCCATGTACAAAAATAATATTATTTTGTATATTTAATCTCTATAATAAAATCATTTAATCTTCTTCTTCAAAAAAGTTTTATTTTGCTTAACATTTGCCGATCGGCAACCTGGCCAAGTGAAAAGCTTAACATTTGCGAATTTCACTTTCACAAGCATGGAATAATAATATTGCCCGTAGTCAATGGATCACTCGGATAATTGTACGAAGAGGCGGCTTGGCTATCTACACTGGCTCCGGCCCCGGCCCCGGGTGATTGGACCCACATTTATTTTTTTCTTTTCACACCTACTTTTTTAAAAAATATTTTTAAATAAAATTATTTAATTATTTTTATATTCTTTTTACGTTTATAAATTCAGAGGTTTTAGGAGTTTTTAATTTTATAAACTAGAAACTTCTAAAAAAATTTTGAATTATATATACAAAATTTTTAAAAAAAATCGATTTTACATATTCAAAAATTTAAAAAATTAGATAATCGCTCTCAATTATTTTTTTCAAATTTGAATAAAATTGTTTTTAAATTACCGAATATAAAACTATGATAAGATATAAAATTTACCTAAAATGCATATTCGAAAATATTTAAAATTAAGATAAAAAAGATAAATAAATAATTTCATCAAGAGAAGAATTTGAAAAAAAAAAAATTGAATGTGAAGGAAAAAAATAAAAATGTATTTAGAACCTCTCTAGTTGGCCTGCTTAGAACCTCTCTACTTGGCCTGCTAGAAGATTTAATGTCCATTATTGCCCTTTTGAAAAGACAATTTACACAAAAGATAAATTTTTATAATTATAAATTTACAATCATAAATAAACTTTTATGCAGAAGAATAAAAGAGAGATTATCTCATTTTAAATTGAGGATATATATGAGATTTTCATATTGAATTATCTATTATTTTAAAAAATTGCTAATAACAAAAATCAAATTTAAATATTATAAGCTAAGTGTATTTAATTGAAGAAATCAATTTATATTGAACTCTTTTTTTGTATTTTTAATTAGACAAATCGATTCATGATTAGATTAGAAGATATATCACTTAAAATAAAAACTTAATATATCATAATTTAAAAAAATTTCTCAACAACTTGATGAATTAACTTTATTTATTGTGGCTAGGTACATCAGATTTTCTTATTTGTTTCCCATAGTTTATTGTGGCTAGTTACATAGGATTTTCATATTTGTTTCCATAGTACTATTATTGTCTTTCACTATAGGCGTTTTCTTGTTAACATGTAATGTTTCACATTGATTCTCCATTGAAGCTGAGGCATTCCAAACTGTACGTTCTTAATTTATTAAGATAATAATACGAAAACAATGTAAATTGTATTTGTCCCCAAGGACATGCACAAACCAAGGATGTTTCCTTGGTGTGTAAAGAGTGTTAAGTTGTCATTCTTTGGATTCATTCCAAGCAAATGACAACTAAGAGTAAGAGTAAAGCTCAACTTTTAGCCTAAGAATCTCCTAAAAAGAATCCATCATAAGATAGGTAACTGATTTTTGTTTCACCCAAATGTGTTTTTCTATAACGAAGCTTATCAAAATTTAAACTTTAATCATTGACTGTTGGCTACCGACCAGTTGACAAGAACTTTTTGAATATTTTTAGTTGGTATAAAAAACAAATTTTCTTGAAGTTGTAGCTTAGTTTCGGTTATACCAAAGCGAACCTAACTGTAAATCTTGCTACCCTTTTTTTAGCATAATAGCAAGCCTTTTAAATGACCAATTCCTTCCCTCAAGTTTGTGCAATTCGATCACAAAACAAAAGGTCTCGAGGGGTCTCCTGGAAACCATGAATAGGCGGTTCAGGCAAGTTTTCACTGCTCTAAGAGAGCACAGCTGTGTAAGCTATGCTAAAATAGCCACGATTGGAGGGTTTTGCAATGTTGACCTCATAATTGTAAAGGCAACAGCCCCGGATGATTTGCCACTGTCTGACAAATATGTACATCAGCTCTTGAAGATATTCTCCATTTCTCCATCTTGTTACCGTTCCTTTTCACTTAGCTTCGCTCGCCGTTTCGGAAAGACTAGAAGCTGGCGAGTTGCACTAAAATGCTTACTCCTTCTACATCGACTGCTTAGATCATTGCCTGAAGATAGCCCCATTCGATCAGAATTGCTATGGAATCGATCAAATGGTTTGATCTCTCTATATCCTTGTCGTTTCCAGGATGCTTCCTCCTCCAATCCTGAGAGTTACACCACGTTTATCAGATCATATGCACATTTACTAGATGAAGCTCTAGGTTGCTTCATGTTAGATGATCAAGTATTTTCCAATGAAGACTTGGAAATGCCTGAAAGTTTACCAGAAAAAATGAAAGAAATGGGAAGGATGCTTGAGATTTTGCCACAGCTTCAGAGCCTAATTGATCGAGTTATGGATTGTAGACCAACTGCGAATGCGGCCAGGAGCATTTTGATCCAGTCAGCAATGAAATACATCATTCGGGACAGCTTCATTTATTACTCCATTTTTAGAAGGGATGTTGTTTTGGTATTGGACAATCTCTTTCAAATGCCATACAGGAGTTGCATAGCAGCTTTTAGGATATACAAGAAAGCAGCCCTGCAAGCAAACCAGCTGTGGGAGTTTTATGACTGGTGTAGACTTATGGGATTCTGTGGGTGTTATGAATACCCCTTTGTGGATCGGATTCCACAGATACAAATTCAGGCTCTTGAGACTTTCATCAATGGAATGTGGCAGCTAACTGAGTCATCATCACCCACCACATCACCATCATCACCATTCATGGATTCCAGGTCGAGTTCAACAGAAGATGACAGAGACAAACAGGTGGTTGTTGTCAGTACTCTGAAAGAGAAATTTGAGCGCAGTTATTTTCCTGAAAAGTTCGATAAAGATGAGGAGAGGGAACCCTTGATTCTGCTCGATGATAGTGAAAACGATAGCTGGGAGGATCTATTTGAGGCTTCAGTGAATCTCTCTTGTGTTCAGAGAAACAACCTGCTTTTATACAACAAGGGATTCAACTATAGCAATGAAAGTGAGAAGGATGAATGGAAGATACAAGTGTACAATCCTAATGCATCCAATCCCTTCTATCAGCCTTCCAGCATGCCAATTTGTTATGCACAATATGCAAGCAGTGACCCAAAATATCCATGGGGACTTTGATGCACACCAGCCCTTCCATTTTTAAAAATTGAGTTGCTTGCAACCAATATCAGTTTTAAGCTTTGATTTCCTTGGTTAATTTAAAATAAGGTCAATCATTTTTCAGGCCTCATATTTGTAGATAGATTTTCCTTTTTGGAGTTTTGTTCAGAATTCACAGCGTAGTTGTAATTCTTAGAGAATGATTTGAAATCTGCTTCATTGGTATACAGATGGAAGCATGTTGTCCAGCCTATATGCAGGTACATTCAACGACTCTGGGTTTGTGTTGCCTTGGTCCAACAGCTTTACCATTGACTTTTCACTATTCTTTTTCATTTCAATATTGAGGCAAGGGAAAATGCAGGAGCTCGGATCCGAAGAAATCTAACGCCAGAACGTAACGGGTGAATTTCGACTAGGTCCATGAACGGTGACACTTCTAATTATAATTATTATTCACTTAATTTTGTAATAAAATATGAAAAATAAGAAAAACATAAAAATCATGACCGCAATAACCATTACAACATCTATTTATACTTTGCACCTTTAATCATGCGACTCAACCAAAAACATAACTATAATAACTATTTTATCTTTTACATTTTTTATTGCGATATATGTGATTTATATCATTTTTATATTTTTTAATACGATTAATGTGACACATCTGAAAATTCGACTGCAGTTACAATTTAAATAAATACTCAAAAGTTTTTGATTTGGAAACAAAAGATTAGTAGTCATCACAAGTCAGTAATTCATTCATCTGTTTATAGATTAATTTAACTCCACAATGAGCACAAAACGCCCTTTTCTTCAAGTCTTTCTCAAAAGTCAAAACCAATACGGATTCTTTTATACTTTCCAGCCTCCTTTCATCAGCAACATGCTCTGACGATGTTCCCTGAAGTTCTTCAACACAAGTTTCTACAAGAGAAAGAAAAAAGGGAAAAAAAAAAGAAAAACAGAAGAGATGATGAGATACTAATTACAACACAATTCAGTAGATGGTTTTCCCTTTTGGAGTTTCGTTTAGAATTCATTTAGTGTATGGGAGCATGTTGTTTGTCCTACTCCTGCCTAAGTGCCTATGCCACCTACATTCAACAGCTCGGTTGGGTTGGGCTTGCTTTGCTTTGCTTTGCTTCATTTCAATATTGGTCCAAAAGGAAATGCAGGAGCTGGTGCTAGAAACCCAGCCAGCCTTGGGTGCAGGTTCGTTTAAATTTCGAACTAAGTCTGGTAATTGGCTTAATATAAATAGGTCTAACAACTAAGTCTAACAAGTGATTCAGCCATCCCAAGGCCTAATCTAACACCAATGTGGTAATGACTTGGTAGCTATACAACTAGTAATGCTTTCGTACTTCCTGCGATAGACCTAGGCCGACGAGTTACACTGTCATTGAATGACCGTATACTAATGCAACTTCAAAATTCGAGGTTCAGCCCTGTATTTTTTGCTGAATTAAACAGGAATGTCAATTGACAACTGCTTAGGATCCTAGTGAATAATATTTTATTCAGGCTCCAATTGGTATTAATTTTTTTTTTTTTTTGGAAAATGGGTATTGCAGAAAATAAGCAGATTCTGTTGAAATAAGCTTTACATTTTCTAATGACAGGTGAAATACAACAAAATTGTTAAGCATACTACAGTAACAGACTGCTAAAGAATTTACAATAATTTAGTACAGAAATGTGTAAATTGGCAGTCCCTTTTCAATTCATTAACTCTCAAGCTAGAGAGACAGAATTCTTAGCAAAAGCTGAAAATTTGAAGTTAACCAGAGACTAGGAATGATAGGGAACCTCAGCCAAGTGTGCAGCAGCAACACCAATTGCCAATAAACGAAGAAGAAACCTTCGGTGCATTAAACAACCTTCCTCAGTATCTACTTCCGATGCCTCCGCTTTTGCTCAGGTCTTTGTCTTTTCTCATCATCCCATTCCCGATCATACATCCTGGACTCTGGTTAAGGAAATAGCTTCTTCTATTTGCATTAGAACAGAAAGTGAAGGCCAAAATGAACTAAAACAAGTTTATGAAACAGATGGACCTTATTTGCAATAGAACAGTATGTGATGGTACTAAATCATTTTCTTCCATGATAGTTCTGCATTAAAAAAGATATTTATTCTGCATGCAGCATCATTTTGCTGCTATAATGACAAACTAATATCTTCAAAGGAAGCAGCAAAGCTTTGCAGCGCGAACGATTGAAGGCAAAACGGAGGAGTAAACAGGTGACAAAGTTAGAAGAGTACACTAGGGCAGAGGAAATAACTCTTTACCTTGTTTGGGAGTGAAAGGTAGAGTTTACATGCTATATACCCTGTAAACAGAGTTGAAAATAAGATTTTAAGGGTAAAAATGGGACCGCAAGATTAAATAACTAAAATGGAGTGCTCTATTTGCAAATCCTTCTAACTTGACATGGAATTCGAAAGGTTTTTAGGGGGTAGGTTCATCTCCAAATCCTCTTCCTTGCACTAACACTCCCCCCACCCCACCCGAAAAAATGCCCAAAAAGACTATTCTAGACAGGGTAGGATAAACATTCACTCCCTTTCACTCTAATCCCATTCCATTGACATTGTAAAATATACTAGCTCATTAGCATTTATCCTTGGCATGCAAATGCTGCACACGTAACTAACTTGATAAGTTTTACAGGACACACTATGCAAGTATGTTTAGATGATTAGACCTATAATTTAGCATACTTTTTAAGGATACGGGTCTGTGTCACGACGAGCCATCTTGTTGGCTGCTTCTTTACCATGAATCCTCACGCTTGGTTCCTCCAAGTAAACCCCACGCTGCATCATGGCACCCTTTCGGTCTCTATCTCTTCCATCATATGATTGTGACATACCAATGGCAAGAGGTGGGGGCAGAGGGGCAACCGGAGAATATTCCCCAGGTTCTGATGGCAAATGCTCTCTCTTGAGTTTCCTCCTTTTGGCACCAGTAGCATCCACATCCTCTTTCAAAAGGTTTGGTTTCTCTCTGTCCCTCTCTCTGTCTCTGTCCCTCTCTTCCACCTACATAGAGCCACTCACCAATATAAGCAAAAATCTTTGCCAACAATGAAACATACCTATATGATATCAAAGTGCTGATTTCCACACAATCTGAAAACTAGAAGAGCCATTTTGCTTCTTTTTATCTTTAACAGTTCAGAGAATTTATTAAGACAATTATGATGCATATATAAATAAGTTGTATGCAAAAACAACCAAACTACAGAAACAGGCCCCACACCATCCCTCCCTGTGTTAGGACAAAACATGTAGATTAAGTATCATCATTTGACCACGATCAGCTTCAGTATCACCACCATAATTCCAGGAAAAGACTGAATTTTTTAGGCACCAGCTTGGAGCTTTTAGGTTCTTAACCTAAATGTAGTAGCTAAGTCAGAACACATTATAGTAACGGTGTAATACAAACACACAAGGTTTATGACAGCATTAAAAACATCTCCAAGGCACACAATAAAGATATTTTGGTCCTTCTACTTCATATGCATCCTTAATTGAGGAGCTTTAGCTTGTTGATATTTATCAGGTGTAACCAACAACAGGTTAAGATACGGATGTTGGAGGAGGATCTTTACACCATTTGGCAGATTTCAGGAAGGAATAAGTTGAGAGTTTTGGCTCATCAGCATAGGCAGGAAGGTAATTCTGCCTAGCTTTTAAGATAACACAAACCACCTTGACTTCTTTAGAGTGTTCTTCAAAATCAAATAGCTATTTTGATTGGCTTGTGCCACACAACAACCAAAGAGCAAACCAAATCATACTGTCAATGCTCCCGAGAAACTGCATTTTTATTATTTAATATTTTCTGCTAACATTCTAAATATTGAATCACTTCATTTAAGACCAATACTTAGTTTGTTCCTTTATTACTATGCTACCAGGAATCCTTGGAACCCTTAACTTGGTAAGATTCCAAAGCCAACTCTACACGAACAAACAATAGTTCTAAAACTTACAGCTAGAAAATAAACAAGAAAAAACAATTGACATTCTACTTTAGATAAGACAAATTGAGAACCTAAAATGCTCTAGAACTGGAATCTACCATGACATCTCCCTTGGCCATGAAATACCAAATCTATTAATCTAATTAAGGCAAAACTAAGGTATCACATGATACCCAGGCAAGCATATCATGCCAATCAGAGTTTCAGCCCCTTAATATGTGTACTTCCATGAACTGGTTCTCCAAAAAGATCCAGAAAAAGTATATTATGGCAATCAAAGTTTCAGCCTATTAGTATACTTGCTTTCATGACTTAGATTGTCCGCAAGGATCTAAATAGAGATGTCAGGTCACAAGTGCATTACAGGCAAGGAAAATCTCATGAATTAGTAGCAGTGCGTTACAGGCGATCCTTCATGACCTATCATAAACAACGTACTTTCATGACCTAGATTATTTAAAAGGATAGCATAATAGTGATATCAAGTGCATTGATAATCAAATCATAAACAACCACAAGAACTAGATCACCATGCAAAATCTTATTAATTAGCATTACAGGCAACCCTTAATGCAAACAAGCAAAGTGTCATAGCTCATATGATATAGAACTCCAAAATGTCCCTAGTTATGGGGTGATAATAATAATAATAATAATAACGGTTTGATACCTTCATTGACAACCCCTCTCTTTCTTCTCGCTTTCTCTCTCGAAATTCATCCTCTCTTCTGCGCTTTCCATCATCCTGGGAAACCAAGGAATTTTCTTCTGAACGTCTACGCTCCTTCTCTTCATGTCTTGGAGAGAGTCTCTGAGTATGTCTGGTACTACTAAACCTTCTGTCAGGATCGTCATCCCTTCTGCCAGTAGAATTAACAGATTGTGGGACCATATGGGGAGGTAAGGGTGGTGGTGGAGGCAGGCTTTGCCCGTGAAACCGATCATCAACATGAGACTTTTCTGTGGATGTATCAGCATGTCGGACTTTACTCCTTTCATCTTTGCTGCGCTCATCCTTAGCTTTATCACCAAGTCTATCCAAATTCCTATCAGTGCTTCTCTCAACAGAACGCTCTCTTCCATATCTCTCTATTGATCTATCTCTTGATTTCTCAGTCAAACTGTCATCTGCACGGGACTTTTCAGAACGCTCCAATCTTTCTCTGTAA